TTATATTAAAAACAAGAAGATAGAAAATAGCACCTAGTTATATACTATTCTGCTAAGTTCTTAGGACCTAAAGCAGGCTACAGCATACCTAACAAAGAATTAAAAGCAATATTAAATGCTGTAAAAGTATAAGCTATAGAACTACATAGAATAGCAAAGCTATTTTATATTATAACTAACTATGTAAATTTAGTTACATTTCTAATAGTAAAAAAGCTATTACTAATGTATATAAAATAAGTAATAAAGCTTACATAGTTTAACTACATTATTAAGCATGTTCTAGGAACACAGAACTAGTAGGCTAACACTCTTAGCTAAAAACTAGACTACTTTAATAAAAAAGAGGAGAAAACTAAAAAGTTTACACTCTTTAAAGAAACTAATAAAGGATAGATTTATAATAGGCCTTAACTTATAAAAAAATTCTACATGCTTATAGCTAGTAAGCAAAGATAAAAAAACTTAATCTAAAAATACTATAAATTCTTAATGTTTAAACATCTAAGGATTAGCACTTTTTAAAAAAAGTTAAGAGCTGCTATACTATAATAAATACTAAAAGTAAAATAACTATACATAGAGGTGCTTAGAGAATGCAACACTTGTAATAAGAATAACTTATAAAGGCATAAGGCTTATAGGTACTTTTAGCTAATTAAAGCACTAAAGTTACTATAGATAATAATTATAATAGATTTTATTATAAAATTACCCCTGTCTAAAGAACTAGGGACAGACAAGATGTGCAACATAATTATAGTAGCTCTAGATAAAACTACTAAGTACTTACACACTTAGCTCTTTAAAAAAAATAATAACTGCTAAAAAATTTATTTATAAATTAAAATAAAACATAATATTAGTATATAAATGCCTTAAGATTATTATCTTAGACTAAGATAAGCTATTTACTAGCAGTTTCTAGAAAGTAGCAATGCAGCACCTTAGTATAGCTTATAAACTATTAACTACTTATCACCTATAGATAGACAGTTAGACTAAAAGAGTAAATGCAGAAGTAGAAAGGTACCTAAAGAAGTACATCTTTTATACTTAAAATAACTAAGTAGAATAGCTTCTAATAGCACAACTAGCTATTAATAATGTAGAATTAGCTATAATAAAAGAAACACTATATAAAGCTAATTTTAGATACAACTTTTACTTTACATTACACAGAAATTAACCTACAGACCTATAAAAGTTAATAGATTAGCTAGTAGACCTATATTAAATATATAAAAAGTTAGTAATAGAAGCTAAGTCTAGCAGAGAAATAATAGAGAAGTATGTAAATAAATTATAATAACTAGGACTAGAAATCTACTTAGGAGACTATGTGTACTTTAACACTAAAAATCTTAAGATACCTAGGCCCTCTAGGAAACTAGCAAAAAAAAGGATAAAACTATATAAAGTTCTCTAAACCTAATAAGACAATTGCAAGCTTAAGCTTCCCCTACATATAAAAATACACTTATAGTTCTATATTTCTAGACTAAAAAAAGCATTTAAAAAGATTCTTTTATTTATGTAGAAATAAAAAGATAAGAAAATAAAGTACAAAGTTAAATACATAGTTAGTAATTAAAAGAACTAGAAAAAGTTTCTAGTAAAATAGAAAAAGTAGCTTACTAGTAAAAACATATAAAAACTAGCTAAAAACTTACAGAACGCGCAGCTGTTAGTATAAAGGTACCTTTAGGCTTATTTAAAAGAAACTAGCTAAGTAATAAGGCACTTATATTAAAAGAAATAGCTACATTATTACTAAATAGCAGCAGCCTTTAAAGACAAGTTCTAGCTAATAAAGGCTAAAAAGAAGGATAGCTTACTGCTTTAGCCTTAAAAGCTTCTATCTTATCTAAGAAGAAAAAGTCTCTTTTTAAGTATTTTGCGTAATAAGCCTCTAGTAAGTCTAATAATTTTTAAATATAATCTTGTTTAGAACACTCCTTAGCCTTTACTTTTAAGGTCTTTTAAACCTAATATAACATTTTGTTATTAAGCTCTTACTTATAGGCCTTTATAATAAAGGCCTCTTAAAGAAGTGCTTTCTACTCTTTCTTTAGATAATTTTATATAATGTTTAAAATAAAAGTGTTGCATTTGCTGTGCTTTTTTACACACTTAACACAGTTATCTAAAGATAAAGTTAGCATATAAGATAACTCTAAAGATTAGTAAGCGCTGTAGGGCCTTATTTTTATTTAGTAAAAAAAATTAAAACAAAGAGTAACATAATAATAATAAGATAAATAAGACTAGTAAGCTATTTAGTATAAAAAGAATAAATGTTAAGAACGCCTTTTAGTAGAAGGACGCATACTTTATAAATAAACCTTTACTAACATAGTTGTGTAAGTAGAGCAGTAAGGACGCTGCTAAGAAGAGGGGGCAGCGTGTTATAGTCTACAGTTAGACTAGTGTAACTCTACTAGCAGTGCTCTATAATTTAGCTAGATTAGGACAGGGCTTGCTTATAGACTAATTAAAAGACACAGAGACAGCGCAGCTGCCTGCAATTGTAGAGGAATGCGTTGTCTAATAGGGAAACAGGCTGTGTACTAACAGGAGCTTAAGGGAGCTTAAGGAGCTCTCCTTAGCAGACTCCTATAAACTCCTTCTGCTCCCCTTAGCAACCCTAGCATATGTATATAGTTCCTATATTAAATAACCTTTAAAAGGTGTGTTTAATGTTTAGTTTATTTTTTACATAGACTAAGTAGCATTTAGCTTTTTAAAGAGCTATAATACTATTTATATATCTTACACTATATATACTTCTAACTTTGTCTGTTAGAACTGTTTAACCTAGCCTCCCTACTGCTGCATTAAGGGTAAACTATAATCTAGTCACTCTATATCACCCTCCATTAGCCTAATAGCCTGTACGTAGGACTGTACACCCTACCGGATTGGCCCCTACCACCTGTCCTACTTCCCCCCTAGGAATACCATAAGACCTGAGTGCTTCCTGAAGCAAGGATTGTAACATAGGGCTCCTATGTAGAGCAGTATAAAAACTAACAACTACTTAATAAGCAACAAGAGAAAGAGCTTATAAAGTATATTAAGCAGCTTTATAAGCGTAGCCTACTACCTATAAAGCAATAGCTACGCAATTTTGCTTTAAAACTCTGTAGTAAAGAAGTAAAAAAGTTTAGCCTAATTACTTTCTTTAACAGCATTAAATCTCCCTAGTTACTTACTAGATCTTTAGCCTAGATTAAGATAGGAAGTAAGCTAATTTAGCCTTTAAATATAAGCTCTATTTTAAGCTACTATAGTAGAAGATTTAGAAGTACAAGATAGAGCCACAGCATATGTATAATATAAATAAGAAAGGCTTTTTTATTAGTGTACTATTAAAAACAAAGCAGATCTTCTCTAGGCAGAGATATAAAGAAGGTAGCCTTAAGCAAGCTATACAGGACAGTAATTGTAAGTAAATAACTTATATAGCTTATATCTACGCTAACAGCTCTGCGCTCTCTTTAGGCCTTATCTACTAAGCTAGCACTAGTAACATCTAAGATAGCTAGTTACAAGATTTTAACCTAGCAGTATATAAGTGCTTCTTTGCCTTATCTTCTAGTAGCTAGATAAATAATAATTTAGGCCTGTGCTAGCTTAAACAGCTGTTTAATAAATAGATAAAGAAGAAAGCTTATTAGGCGTATAGGCTATTAATTTTAGATAGCTATAAATCTTATGTTTTTATAAAGTTTATTAACTACTGCAACTAGACTAGGATTTTGCTAGCTGTCTATCTACCTTATTTAACCTATATGCTACAGCCTCTTAATGTTAGCCTATTTAAGCTACTAGTAACAGCTTATTTAGATAAACTAGCTAGTTTTATGTATAAATTAATAGAGTTTATAGCTATTATAAAGTAAGACTTTTTTTGCCTGTGTAATAAAGCCTAGTAGACTTTATTTACTAAGAAGAATATACTTTCTAGCTTTAAGGCCTGTGGCCTAGCGCTGTTTAACCCTAAGAAAGTCTTTACTTAATTTAGTACTACTAGTACTAGTAGACCTTCTTCTAGTAAAAGCTTTTAGTTAGCTCTTACTGCTTAAAATTAGAGACACATAAACAAGTTTCTATATAAAGTAGTTAGTAATATCTCTAACTAGTAGGCTAAGCAGCTTAGTAATACTATACACAGTCTCTTAATGCAGGTTATAACTCTCTAGATAGAGAATTAGGGCCTTATAAAAGCTCTAGTTAATAAGAAGAAAAAGTAAAAGTGTAGTAAACCTCTTTTACTTATAGCTTTTAAGTAGTACTATAGTAGGGCTGTATTCTATAGTCTTAGAAAGGTTTAATAAGCATGTAATTAATAAGTTAAGAAGAAAGCTGCTACAGAGCTTTTACATTAATAAAAAAATAAAAAGACTAGGCGTAAGAAGGCTAAGAAGTGTAAGAAAGCTTATATAGCTAAGAAGAAAAAGCATATAAGGGCAGCTACTAAGGACACTTAACTATAAAAAGCTAAGAAAAAAAGGCTTTAGAAGGAAGAAAAGCAACTAGCTAAAAAGGCTAACTGCTAACTTTAAAGCAACATTAAAACTTCTAGGAAGGCTAAGAAGACTACACAGCCTATAGCTAGTAGGCTAGAGTAAGTAGTTAAGGATTAATTAATTATTAAAGTAGTAGGGCTGCTATGTAAGTAAAATTGCAGAGGCAGAGCTATTAAGCTTCCTACACGCTTCTACAACTAGCTAGTAGCCTTAAATTAATCGCTGTAATTAGCTTCCTAATCCACTAAAAAACCAGGCCTATATTCTATTTATATGTTGCCCTAGAGCTTCAAGTCGCGGTGCCGCTGTACGGCAAATTCCGTGCGTCAGGCGAGACTGTGCGTCGGCTGATAAAATTTAGTATCTAATCTCAGCACGAGTGATTGATATCACAACCTTCTCCCAGTTCATCATTTTGAAACACCCTCCAGACAAGTTAACAAAACCATACATCTACACTGGCATGTGATGGTTACCTCAACGTGCTTAATGTGGGTCGCAGGGGAAGAAAGGGAAGGAAGAGCGGAGCAGTCAGTTAGCAAGCCCTTACATTCACCCTTCCAGCTGCATAGCGATGGCTAATCTCGACTCTGTAGAATCCAAGTAGAGGACCCTGAAACCGGAGAAATCTTTGCTCATTGCCACGCTGCCTCTGTCGAAGATGTTGATGAGGCCGTCAGACACGCCCATGCTGTCTTCAAATCTGGAACTTGGTCCAGAGCTCCTCGCCATCTGCGCGCCGAGGTCCTGGATAAGATCGCAGGTCTTTTGATCAAAAATCTCCCTAGACTCATCGAGCTCGAGGTACGGCAGACAGGACGAGCTATCCGTGAGATGAATGCCCAGGTTCCGACGCTTGTGAAATGGTTCAAGTATTACGCAGCTCTTATCCGGACTGAAGAACGGGTTGTCCTTCCAACGACGGGCATGCTTCACAATTGGATTGATCGAAAGCCGCTTGGAGTCGTTGCACAGATTACTCCATTCAACCATCCGCTTCTCATTGCCGTGAAGAAGATTGCCCCGGCTCTGGCGGCTGGGAACTCGGTTATCTTGAAACCCTCCGAGCTCACGCCCTTAACTTCGATTGAACTGGGGAAGATCATGAAAGACGCCGGCCTTCCAGATGGAGTTTTCACCGTACTACCCGGGCATGGCGCAACGACCGGGAAAGCTGTCGTCGGGCATCCTCTTATCAAGAAGGTCGATGTGACGGGCGGCACACCTGCCGGAAGATCCATCGGTGCTATTGCGGGGCGTAATTTGGCGCACTTTACTGCCGAGCTTGGGGGAAAGGCGCCACTTGTCGTGTTCGAGAAAGCTGATGTTGATTTGGCAGTTAACGGGATTGCATTCGGGTCATTTGTTGCTTCAGGTCAGACGTGCGTAGCGGCTACCCGAATCATCGTTCACAACACTATTCTGTCGGAGGTGGTTGAGAAGCTGCAAAAGAAAGCGGAATCCATCGAGCGTAGGATGGGCTCACCAAAGAACGTGGAATCTATGATGGGGCCTTTAATTTCTGCAAAGCAGCTGTCAAATATGCGGATACTAGTCGACAGTGCTGTGGAGGCCGGGGCCAAAGTCGTAGCAGGTGGCCAGAAGATGAATGGTATATCGGCTTTAGATCAAACAGACTTTTCGAAAGGCTACTTCTATCCTCCCACAATACTTGTGGATGGCGACTCCACTAAGATCGTAGACACGCGAATATGGAAGGAGGAGGCATTCGGACCAGTCATTGTGGTCGTTGGTTTTAATACTGAAGATGAGGCCCTTAACCTTGCAAACGACTGCGATTTTGGTCTTGGAGCGGCTATCTGGACGCAGGACCTCTCTCAGGCTTTCAGGGTATCTGAAGGCATCGAGGCTGGTATTTGCTGGGGTAAATATAAGCCCTTCTTTCTTTATTTGCACGAGCTTACCATTCGTGCAGTCAACACTCATCATCGGAACGATCCAAGCAGTCCATGGGGCGGCATCAAAGACTCTGGTGTTGGAAGCGAGAATGGCGTCGGCGAGTAGATCAATTCATTCCGATCGAGCAAAGCTAACAGTAGATCCGCAGATGCGTATCATGCTTATACCACCACCAAGAGCACGATTGTGAACTACGGTTCTGTAGAGGAAGGTTTGGCAAACGATGACTGGTTTCGAGAGGGTACCGGCGAGGTGAGATACGGATAAGCAAAGCCATCTTTTCAGGAGAAATTCTTTACATTGCTTCTTCAACCACTCGCCCGTCTCTTATTATGCCCCTGTTATGTCAAGACCACCTCGGTTGCTCGCCTTACTGGGGGCTAACTCCGCACCTCCCCCGCGTTTCCCCAAACTTCCCCAAACTCTCATTCAGCCAACCAACGCACTATCATCCAAAAGGAAATGATCAACAAGCGTGGTAGGTAATCCTTGTACTAAGTCCCTAAGGACATTGATATTGACACAATGTGGGGGAATCCGGCCTCGGAAATGCACTTCTGACCTCTGAGCAACTCGGTACATCTATCTCAATCAAATTTTCTTTTGGCGTGGCACTTCGGGTAAGCCCATGTAGCTGTTTATTTTCTATATGCACCCCATATTGCTCGTCCATGGTCTCGTCACCAGAGCTTGTCCCACCAATCGTCCTCAGTGAGCAGGCCACACATTCACGATGAATAAGTATAATTTGTTGTGCATTCTTTATGTTTGCTTCGGCTCTATCTTTTATGGTTATGATTCGGGTGTCCACTTCCTTTTCGACCTTTTGGCGGTTGCTGTTGATACGCTGTTCCAAGGATGTACGACTTCGATCCTTGGGTATGAGACTTTTCTAACATTCTTCGACCTCGACTCTGTGACCATTGGTGCCTTCGGCTCAGCGTACTACGGAGGCTCTATCGTTGGGATGATGATGAATTGGTACGCTTCATCCCATCCTTCTCATCTCCTCAGTTCCGAGCTAGCCAACCCCATCCAGGTACTTCCCGAATAAAATCAGTCGTCTCCGAACCATCCAAATAGCCTGCATCATATAGCTAGTCAGCGGAGTAATGCAAACTAGAGCCCCCGACTTCGGGATCTTCTGCGCCGGTCGTATTATCGGTGGCATTGCCTGTGGTATCGTCTTCTCCCTCTGTCCCGCTTACGCCGCCGAAATAAGCCCCCCTGCTGTATGAGGCCGATTTGGAGGACTGTATAGCTTCAACGTTAATTTCGCATACATGTTGACAGAGTGGATCGGCCCGGGGCTCTACTTCATCCACACGAATGTTGCTTGGAGGCTGCTACTAGGATTCCAGCTCATCCCGCCGATTCTAATGCCAATCGGATCGATTTGGATGCCATTTTCCCCTTGACGGCTGGCATATAAAGGCCGTTACGGCGAATGCCTCGAAGTCCAACGACGTGTCCACTAAGATTCTGACGAAGATCTGGACTTCTATCTCCGCGAATACTACTAAACCCGCGCCCAGGTCGAACTGGATAAAGAAGAGAAGCTGAGTATGAAAGCGTTATAGAATTGACCGTTGTATTGGAAGAGATTTTTGCTGGCTGTGTTATTTAGTAGTAGTATTAGAAATGCATTAGTATAAAAAGAGTAGTTTAGTAGGGTTTTAGTAAAAGTAAGTAACTTAGGTGTGTAAGCAACTTGCCTATAAAGTATGTTAGTCTATTACTTAAAAAGTGTTATATTTTATTTAAAAGCTTAAAGTATAAGCTATATCTAATATTTCTTTACTATATTTAAGTAGTGTTGTTAGAAATGTATTAGTGTAGAAAAAGTAGTTTAGTGTAGTCTTAGTAAAAGTAACTAACTTAGGTGTGTGAGCAACTCGCCTGTGGGGTACGTTATGTGAAGTCTAACTCATCAAGTAATTTAGGTGGGGAATCTGACAAAGCGAGAATGCTGAGACATTTCACCAATTGCCTGCCCGGCAGATGACTGAACTAAGAGCTAAGCGACACGCTAACGTCTTATCGCGATGTGTCCCTAACCTACACATCTTGCTCACCTCATCTTAGTACAGTGTGAACTAGAGCCAACCCTACTAGCACTATTCGATGGTGGAGACCGTATTTGCCATCATACCGCGCATACTGTACACCTCGCATAATACAAACGTTACCAAGGCCCATTCTAATCCGCAAATATTAGCGAAACTTTTCATGGGAACGACCTTCGCCGCTGCAAAGCCTCATGTAATGTACTTGGCTCTGCAGAATATTTCACAATGGCCGAACCCCTCACCGAAGAATCGCCCATATCGATGACAGCCAACCTTGTCAACCTTCCTACAGAACTCCTTTTAGACATCGCAGATATTCTGCAGGATCAACGGTCAATCAGTCGACTATCGCGTACTAGCCGAAGACTCCATCACATTCTCACAGACTACCTCCTAAAATACAATATACTCGAGAAGGGAAATACAGCAATACTATGGGCAGCGCAGAATGGTTTCGTGGAGTTGGCCCGCCGTCTCGTGGCTTTAGGCGCCAATGTGAACACATATCATCTTTGGGATCGCTGGAATACCCCTCTATTTTTAGCAACGAAACAGGCAAACTTCTCGATGACCATGCTCTTACTGGATGCCGGAGCGAGTTTAACACTATATCCAAACTGGTATAGAAATACCCCAGTTATGACTAAGTTTTTATTGAATGCTGGAGCGAGTTCACCACTATATTCGCGCTGGCACTGGAATGTACTAGTGATGGCGCTCTTTCATAACTGTGAAGGAGTGGCTCGGACCCTGTTGTCTCGGTTAGACTCTTTCGACGAATTAGTCGACCACCAAGGGAGAACGGCATTGCATTTCGCATGCATTTACAAATGCCCCAACGTTGTGCGTTACTTGCTGCAAGCTGGGTCAGATGTGAATAAAAAAGCGAACTTTATTTCAGCAACACCGACTCCACTACAAAGCTTGCTGAAAGTTGGAGTTCATGGTCGTGACGAGAGAGGCCCCGATAACAAGACATTCCAGATTCTTATGATACTCCTAGAGTATGGCGCAAAGGTCGACGATACAGCCTGTGATCTTGGAGCGAGAAATACAGATCCCAGAGTGCGGTTGTTGCTCTCTCGAACAGTGTTCACGGTCACACCAAATCGATCTGCTGTAAAAGACCGGGTTTGGATGTACGAGAACATTGTGTTGATGGACAAAGGAAGCCATCTAATTACTACTCAAGAGACTCGGTTTGATTATATCGGGTTATTATTCTCCCCGAGAGTCGGTTCCAAGGGCCGGGCACCCCAAGCCCCGCGCGGTCACCACTCCCTTCCAACCATTCCCAGTAAACCTCTCTCTCAGGAAGCCTTACGTGTTGGCCGCGGTGTGCGGAACACCCTAAATCTCGGGCAATTAATCGTCGCCCTCGCGCTTGTGAAAGAGGAAGAGGAAAGGGCGAAGTATGCAAGGGATTCAGAGCCTCAGGATGATGATCCATTCCCGCAATTGGCTCAATACCTACTCCAGACATTCAACCCTGCACAAAAATTATGGAGCAAATTTCAGAAACTAGAGCTGAGCTGCCTGAGAAGACGGCACGCTTGCCAAGGCAGCGACTCTGGAGCCTTTTTCACAACTTAGCTCAGGGGTAGGGAATGCCAAGGACACTTCGTCAGACCTCTGAGTAGACTTCAGAAACCGGAAAACTCCCGTAGCTCCTGTCCACTAAGCTGCAACTAGTGGAAGCAACCCAGGCACAACTCTAAAACCAAGGAAGCCGCAAGTGGGTACAAAAGAAAGTTGGGGGAAAATGGAGCTATGGACTCTGCTCAGATGATAGAGTGACCTAGGGCGGTGTGGCGACTACATTTCAACCCATTAAAGAATTGAAAGGCCTGCGTTCCGGATTGCTAATTGTACCTGCAGCAAAGGGAATGAGTGTGAAGTTCTAGGGCAGCCCAAGCGATATGTGTAGAAATTAGATGCCTTTGAGTTCCTCTCGGCCCGAAATTCAGTTCTGGGGATGCTTTTGCGATGTCGTAAGAAGAGTCGTAAGAAGGGTCCCCATCAGGAAAGGAAAAGATCTTGGCAACAAATGGCTGAGGCAGCTTGCAACACAGCATCGGGAGATTGCACAATGAAGAAAGAATCCCAGAAATGAGAGGGAAGGCTCACCAACAGGGACGGAGAATAAGAACCTTCGTGAAACAGACAGAAGATCAGGAGGTCGTCATGGAGATTCAGTTTCGTGCCTGGGGAGCTTGTCCGAAAGTGAGAGTGACCGAGTAGATATGAGAGGCATGATCCTCGAAAGACGGTACTAAAGCCACGTCACGTAAGTTAGCATTAGATAATGTATGTTACTAAGGCGTGGGAATTCGCGAGAGGTTAGAGTTCGTGAGAAGAGTGTTCGAGCTTCTGCTGGATGAGGAAAGGCAGCCGTTCATGCATCAAGGGATGGCGCCGTTCGCTTAGCCAGCCACCCACAAGCCGTTGAAACCCTTTGCATGGTGGCTTGACATCAGATTGCCAAGAATTTTCCGACTGCCAAGGGCGCACACTCCCGCGACGCGTGTCCTCCACCCTCTCACGATCACGGCTATGTCGCTGTTACCACTGGTGCCCATGCTTTGATGCGAGCTGCCGGGCGCATGGTCACTTGCGCTGGCATTTGCTTCTCCGGACACAGTTGACCTCATCGGACCCTTTGACTGGCGGGAGAGCGGCTTCGGAAAAGGCGTCGTAGTCGTTTGGCTCCACCATCAAAACAGCCTGTCGTTCCAGCCAAGCACATGTATACAGGATGTCTGCACCCATCCGCTTCATGTTGCCGTACGCGACAATGTCACAGCTCCACAGCGTGATTCAGCTCTTCCCAATTACACGCTCGTCTAGCGCGCTCAAAACTGCATCGTAGATCCCCTTTCACGATGCCGCCTTGGGGGCTACCCACATCTAAGTCGCTGTGTTTCTTTCTCCATCTTCATTCTCTTCTTCAGTCCTTGACGGACATCTTGTAATATTTGCCCTGGAGGTTTTCAGTTATTCCCATCCTCTTTTATCGCAGCTAGTGTCTAAGAACCGAAACGATTTATATATCTTGTTAGTCGAGATTCTTCGGCTATTTTCGCTACCCCTATCAGTATCTATATATTAGGTATTCTCACGTTCCATACACGCCTCATGCACCTTGAGGATCTCCTGTAATCGACGATGTCTGAAAGAAGGTGCCCAGTGGCCCCTGGGGCGACTGGTAGACTGTGTCCTATGTCTTCAAGGCCTGGTAGCAAGTTGGGTCCCCGAGGGTGCACCTTCTCAGGGTTTGCTCAACCTGGCGATCTTCACGCAGCATTTGACGTGAGATCTTCCTGTACGGATGGATTCAGGAAATACTGATCAATATCTAGATTCCAATGCATATTAACCCGGTGCACCATCTTCGTCAAAGGTTTGCGTTCCAATTTTTTATATCCCCATTTGATGCTAATTGGCATTGATAGGGACCGAAAAGCCATCAATGATATTCTCTACTCTAGTGGGCCCTCTATGCGCCAAATTAAGGAGATGCAGAATTCCACTGGCACAAAGAGCCTCGACTCACTCAATGCCAGCGACCAGGATTTGCTCGCCATTGCCCTAGGGGCGCCCGCTCGCCAAGTACTCCTGAGAGCAGAAGAAATTGGCCCTCAGACTGGATGGCGCGATGGCTATCTTAGTACTGAATACGGCTTCTGTCCTCCGGATACCACAGAAGCTGTGGGCGCTTTACGAAACTCCCCCGGCCGTGTTTGGTCCGACCTTTGTGAGAGAATGCCAGGCTGCGTAGCACGTGGCCGAGTACGCGAGTCTATTGCTGCGCTGCATTTAGTCCAGGGAACCGCCGATATCATTCCAGACAAGGCACTCTGGGCCGCTTTAGTTGCTCTGGGCATGCTTTGCTCGATTTGGAGATATGAAGAAAATAATAATGGGACTGAAGGCATCAACGTTCCACCACGATCACCGAAGTTGGACAATGTTGACATGAGCGACGATCTCGGCGACGAAGTTAGAGGTATCGCTCGAAGCATCGGCCTTCCTTACGTCCAGATCTGTATCCGTATGGGCCGTTCAATACCCCATCTCACATTCTTCGATCAGTCTTCATACAACATTACCATCCGCGACCCACTCTCCACGTATCCATATGTAGGCCGCTTCGACAACATGGATCTTCGGTGGCCTATGTTCGGCGATTCAGCGGAAAGAGCTTTTCTAAAAGGAGTCGCAGAGACAGATTTGAGTTTCCAGCACGGAGTAGACGCAATCGCTTCCTGCCAAGAACATGTCATGATGAAAAACAAGCAGGGACTTCTTGAAGAACTCATTCGATTAAAAGAGATATTGGAGCGCATGCCCACTGCTTTCAATTCCATTTCACTAAACAGTCGCGCTGGCGAGAACTACATCTGCCCAGCGGAATGGGTGCGATGGGCTAAATTCTCCGCCCCTCTGTCAAAGCGATGCCCCGCAACTTCCGGACTCCAATTTCCACCATTCTTACTGATGGACGCATTTTTAGGACGGACTAATTATTCTTCATTTCTTGGCGAAGAAGGCACACATCTACGCGCCTGGCTTCCGTCAAATTTAAGAGCATTCATCGCTGCAGTGGAAAACTATTACCAGATCCCAGCTTTCGTTAAAGCATCGGGAGACCCGAGATTGATTGGTGTATTCGATGGAGTTGTGGAAGCCTACACTGGAGAACGAGGCTTCATGGGAGCGCGTAAGAATGGCCAAATATTCCCGATGCTCGAGATACTTAATCACTAAGTACTCTCTAGATCGGTATAAAGTCTTCGGCCTTCTTGAGGTCGCCGGGAAGACGGGACGTACAGAGACGAATGGAAACACTGGCGGGACTGACATGGGTACTAAAGATGTGATGAGACCTTGGGAAGAGACTCACCAAGCATTCTCAGATGCAATGAAAGAACGCCTAGAGCCACACCGAGGCAAGCTCGATGTCCAACCTCAGGAATTACGAGGTACATTTGCTGAGTGTCGGTACAAGGGTAAGCTGTTGAGCAGAAACTTTGTTGACACAGATCCGTCTCGCTCAACCGCCATGGTCACCCTGGATATTCACGATACAGGCATCACCTTTCAACCGGGTGATCGACTCGCGATGATGCCACTAAACAGCTGGAGTGAATGTGCCAAAGTCGCAGCAGGTCAGTGTCCTCCACCCCGGGTTTCTCGGCCGGCTTGTACTGAGTGTGGTTAGCTCTGGGACTCGATGACATGCTCGAAGATGCCGCTACTTTGGATCGCCAATGGATGCGTTTTGCTGACCACTTGGGTGCTATTTCCCTGTCAACGAAGCCTCAACTTCGAGTAATCGACATTCTCCGACGAGGACATCTTGCACCTCTCACTTCTCAACTTGTCATGAAGCTTCACAACTTGCTTCGAGCCTCGTCGAACACTATTCTACAAGTTTTGGCGACGGATGAGTGGCCTGTTCGGGCGTCACTAGGCGACCTACTGCAAGCGGCTATAAAGGATACATCTCCAAGAGTCTGGGATCAGGCGTTCGCCTTGGACGGCAACCTAGCTTGGCTTACAGACCTGATCTCGGTTGAAGTTCCCCGAACATACAGCATCTCCACATATTCTGAAGAACTCCTTCCAAGCACCGTGGACCTAACAATTTCTCGATCAGACTACCAATTGAGCTCCACTTTTGCTGGAAACTCGAAAATCATGCGCCATGGAGTCAGCAGTGGCTTCATGAACCCGCTTGTGGGCGAGGAGATGGATGTACTCGACGATGATGATTTACTTATTGGAGTGTCCCGGCCCTTTGCTTTCCAGCTACCTGTTGACGACACCTCTCCAGTAACAATGTTCGCTGGAGGTAGTGGTATTGCTCCTTTCCGAAGTTTTTGGCAATGTCGAGCCGGACGATCATTCGGCAAGATGAGCCTATACCTTGGTGTGCAATCGAGAGAAAAATTTTGTTACGAGGATGAGCTTCGACAGTACGTCAACGAAGGATTCATGGAAGTTCACACTGCATTCTCGCGCGATTCACGGGGGCTTGTTTATGATCCTGTTCAACAAGATCTCGTGGAAAGGGAAATCTCGCCACGTTACATTGACGCTTTGATTGTGGAGCATGGCTCGGCAATTTGTGACATGGTAATGTCAAAGCAGCAAGGAGGTCTCGGCGGGTAGGTACTTCCTTCATCAGCCTCCGTGCGAATCACCGCATTAGCCTCGGTCATAGATATGCCTTCTTCCGCCTACCTTGGATTGGATGGGACTGCGTATTAAACGACTCTATGGACATCTATGTGCAATCCATTCATATTCGGTGGTATATACTAAAATAAAGTTTGCACAGTGCTAACAATCGCATGTAGTTATTTATACGTATGCGGGTCGGTGGAGGTCTTTGACTCCGTCATGTCTGGCATCCGCCGTGCAATTTACAACCACGTTACCAGCACCATGGATTCCACCGACATGATCCTCAATACGGCATTTGCGGAGCGTCGCTTCATGCTAGACAGTGAGTAACGGTGCTTTACCTAAGAAGTACGTCCTGCTTATTACTTGGTAGTATTCATGACTCCTAAGTCCCTTCCTTGCAACACCCCTACAATCTCGCTTTCACAGCTCGCCCTACACACGGGGCATCGGCCGAACACTCGCCTCTGGATCGGAGTTCACGGGAAAGTATATGATGTCACTGATTTCTGCCCTATGCACCCTGGAGGAACAGATATCATCAAATCTAATGCTGGTGTTGACTGCTCAAAGTCGTTCGACCTACTTGCGCACACCAATAACCCGGAAGTGGCTTCTTTGCTCAACAAATACTTCATTGGCGAACTAAGGGTCAAGCCTACCTTTTCTCACTTGGAAGACCTTAGCATGCTCTACGACCTCTGGAATAGCTTCCTCCGTGTCGCGACCGAAACAGTTGTCGCATCCCATTTCGAAGTGGGAATGATTGTAGGATCGCCAGATGTGTGGTTCCAGGGAGACTTGTTTAACATGGGTGGCGTCCGTCGATTCTACCACTACCAGTCAAGACTTCTTCAAAGTGGTTTCTCAGCGCTGTTCGGTGCGAAGCTCCAGGAATTGTACCTCAAAATATCGTTCATCCTCGCAAATTCTTCCCCGTCTACAGGCTCGACTCGGCTTCCCGATGTCCTCGGCATCATCGCCCGTGCCAAGGGCTCGAACGACGCAGTGGCCGCGTGCAATGAGATCTCGCAGATCGGACAGTTTACTGCGAACAGCGAAGCTGCTCGATTCCATGAGAAAGGGATTAGGGCGTATGCGAGTAAGTCGGTGGAATTCGACATGGAGTTTCTCGAGGACATCCGTACCGATGCATGCAATGGCATGGACGCATTTGACAGTATCTTGGATCTAGAAGCCCAATCGGAGACGCAACGAGTTGCCGCGCTCTCAACGTTCCTAATGCAAATCCTTGAGCGCATGGCAAACCGACTCGCAGCCTTCTACGCGAAGCTAGCACGCTATTCTGTCTTCCAGCCGGAAATGGAGGTGCATCCCGCACGAACTAGATGGAATATCCTGAGACACAAGATACGTGATGGCACCTTCTTCATCCTCGCGGCTGAAATCCCAATGGGATCTCCCCCGAGGTACGCCAACAATCGTGCCCACGAGGCCGTGGACTTTGAACATGTCATCCGCGATATCCAACATGTCATCGACAGTTCCCCGCGCTCCAACCCTCGCCCTCGAAACCTGACTCTTGCAGAACAGCACGCTGCCCGATCCGAAATGAAGCCCAGCGATACGTCAGCATACGAAATACAGCAAAGTGGAACAGCGCTGAAAGCTATGTCAACATTCATAGACAATAACAAACGCGCCATCCGCCGTCTCAGCCGAGTTCCTCAAGCCCTGGATCTCGAGCAACTTATGCAGGTGTACAGCCCTATTGCAGAAGACCGACAGCAACACGGCATCCAGACGCCACCACACAGTCGCTCCTCTAGCCGCTCACCCTCGAGAATCGCAGCTATGCCAACGCTAGTCCGGCGTTCAACAACATCGGGTTCAACATACCCTGTGCAAATGCATATGCAATTGCAGGGCTTACAACGTCGGCGTAATACGGCGACTTCTGAACCGGGTCGTCACACGCCCACACCAACAACCACGTCTCTCACTCCTGCAGCGGCTATTTCAGGACTCCTGACAAAGCTGAATACCCGACCGAAAGCTCCTAACGCACCTGGAGGTCTTCCCACTCCTCCGTTGAGTGGCGATGGGGCTCCTGATCAGGCGCGTTTGATGCAGATGTTCGCAGCTGCAAAGACGGGCATTGCGAATGGTGCTCCCACCCCAGATGCGAGTCACTCGCGAACCAAGAGCACAACTGGGAGTTTGAGAGCGTTCAGACTGCAAGCGAGTGCTCTAACTGGGGGATTGAATCGAAGGGACGGGAGCATTGGGTCGTAGCGGTGATGATGATAAATGCATGCGAGTCAAAGAGCAGACGCCAGAAAATGGGACCAGACCGACTGAAAGATGATACCAGAAAAGTTTGTTCGTTTGAGGGGTTTTCTTTGTACAAACATCGCTTGTGCGTCGCTTGATGCACGCGCACAAAGCCTACATTCGCTATATACATACATATACTATATAGAGGTTTACTCAAACACTTCGTACGTTTAACATCTTCTTAAGGTCTACCTCATTTCAACGACAATCGTCTCATTCCTCATTTTCCCCTTTCTACATAGTGTCCGATTGCTCCCCACACGGCCCTGCATGGCTATGACTCTGCGTAAACTTCTTAACATAATGATGATATTCTGCGCCCCTCTTCCTCGTCGTTTTGTTCACCGCCGGTATCCCCTCAAAACTCAGAGCATACTTCGCCACCGAGTTCGCGATACTTTGCGTATTCAATAAGTACGCCTCATGATTAAGATTAGCAAAATTGTCGCCCGCTTGATGATAATTCACATCATACGCAACCCCTGCCTCGCCACCGAAAAGCGCCGCTTCTTCCGCCGTCTTGATTATTTCCGCTCCCGTAAACAACCCACCTGAGGGAATCCCGTTTTCAAGGAATGCCGCGTAATCAGACCGTCCAGAGAATAGAGACGGAACAGAATTTACTCCCTTACTCTTATAAAAATCCTCAAAATCCTTCTCAATAGTCGCGCTCCCAAGCGGACCAGAGAAACTAAACGCACTCCCATCGCCATCATAAATCCCCAGCACATAATTCGGGCTCGCGATCATATCGAAATTAAGATAAGCACGGATCTTCGCGACTTCGCCGGCGGATTGATTGAGCTTCTTCATGTATGCGAAACTCCCAAGTTTTCCGAATTCTTCCGCGCTCCAGAAACAGAAGCGAACAGCGTTTTTAATAGAGAATTTAGAAAGCGCGACGGCGACATTGAGGATACCAATGGTGCCGGAGCCGTCGTCATTGATGCCAGGACCAGCGGCTACGGAGTCGGTGTGGCCACCGAGGGCGAGGACGTTGTTGTGGTCGCCAGTTTTGGTTTCGGCGATGATGTTGTACGTGGTGCGGTTTTCGATGATAGATTCTACGACGAGGTCTGCGATGACTTGACCGGCTGAGAGGGCGGCGAGGAGGGTATTGCCCTCGGTTTGGTTGATTCCAACGATGGGGACGTAGTTCCCTACCCCGCCGAGGGTGCCGGAGAGCTGACCGGCTTGATTATTGTAGACAACTGCAGCAGCGGCTCCGGCTGTCTTCGCGTTGGCGGCTTTTTGGGTAAAGGGGCATTCACCTCGAGATATCAACGCGATGTTGCCAGTGACTCTGGCGGGGAAGTCGGATATTGCGCATCCCAGATTCGAAATATTGACAAGTGGCGCGTTGATTTTCCCAGAGGGTGTATATGTCATAAGACCGGGATTATATTTGACTCCAGCCGCAGAAAGAGTGGTAAATCCTCCAGAAAAAAGCTCGACAAATGCATGCTTGGTTACATCGAAATAGTCCAGTGCCATAAGAGTCGTGTAAAGATAGTCGACTGTAGCATTGTGGCCAGCACCACCAAAAGCTCGATTTCCCCCGTTAGCATCTGCGATGTCTTGTAACTTCTGAGAACCTGCAAGAAGTTCTTCAAGCGTGATGAGTTCCTGGAGTGCATTTGACGAGACAAGTGGCGCTGCGCACAACGCAGGAACAGCAAGCCCAGCAGCCACGAAAATCAGACTAGCCTTCATGTTGGCGTCAGAAGGAGTGAAGACAAAATCTGGCAGACCAGACTTGTATCCATAGTGGAAGTACGAGAGTTCATATACTCATCCTCCGTAAATAGCCACATGATTCTCCGGTCGCCCTGCAGCCATTCCTGGTCAGGAAGCTCCTAGGGCACTTCATCCAGGCTCCATGTTAAAAGACCAAGAACCAGGAGATAGGAAACCTCATCTTGGCCTATCTTGAAGCTCTGCAGATTCCGGAAGGAGATGAAAAGAATCTAGACGCTGGGCATCTGGGCACATGGTGAAGCCGGCTTGATTAAGGTTGATTGGGAAGGAAAGATTGCGCCAAGGGCATCGACGCGGGGAGCAATGCTTGGCATGGAAGGCTACAATCTAACGTCCTGGAGAAAGGAACGTCGCCCACTGAAGGTACTTCTGGGTGTCGATTGTGTGATCCTGAGTCTGAGTGGCATAATGAAGACTTGGAAGATTGGCGCCTAGGGTAAGGGTGAGATAGACCTTGAGATGGAAACTCAGCGAAAATGCACTAAGCCCAATAGGGCTATCACGTGGTCACTGAACGCCAGTGTCTTCCACCGTTGTGTCCTAGTTTTCTCTCTAAATTTTCTATTATCTCCGTATAAAGGAAAGACCGAGAACAATTGCCGTCACCTGTGTTTTACCATAACGCCGAAGATTAGGTCATCACAGAAACCTTGCAAGAACATGCTATCTACTCCCTGATTATATTATAGCAGCACTGACCACGGATTTAAAACTCCATATTAGTGTCCCTTAATAGGCGTCAAGGTGTTGAAGAGAGATTATTATTTGCATTATCATGCTACCCTGAATCTCCCGTGTCTTCACCTCATGACTCTATTAAACCCTTTCATACACGCGTTCCTTCCTTCATCTTTAACACGAAACCACCCCTCTCCATCGTATTAACGAAAATATACCCACTCTTGAAGTACGCATAGCTACCCCAGGTACCTACGAAATCAACAATACCGCCCCCCAGCTCAGCATCATCTTCGGGATAAATATCAAAGAAAGCAACTTCCTTGACGCCTTTGCCAGTAGGGTCCTGCGGAATAGATCGAACATCCAGGACACGGAATCCCGAGCCGTAATTCGACTGCATAGCGAAACCATCAATTACATACTGATTGTGGTCGATGCCGCGGGCACCAGAGCGGTAAAAGCCTGTTTGCTTAGGAGCCTTGAGAGACGAGATATCCCAGATGTAAGTGATGGGATGCCCTTCTTTGCCGGGACCGACCTTCTCATACTCGTCGTATTCGTCATCGAGGAGGAGGTAGTGTTGGTTGTTGGCATCCAGAACCCATCCTTGGTGTGTGTATGCTGCACCCTCGTAGGAAGTGATGGAAAGGATTACAGGCTTCTTCTTGTCCGTGACGTCGTAACTGGGAAGTTTAGCAAGGTTGGAGCTTCTGGGTGTAAATAATAGGAGACGTACATGGTCAATGTATCTTCGTTGTAGCCATAGCAAATCTCATGACCCTCGAATTGAGTGTCTGGACCTTTGTAAATGAGGCATTGCGCGTCATGTACATAACCGTCCGCAGAGGCGCATCCGGGGCTAGTTGGATTAGAAGGGTCGCTAATATCAATGAAGATGATTCCAGATGCGCACGAGGAGTTCCTTGGTTGGGCCCCAACTGAGTAGATGAAGTTCGTTGCAGGATTAGTGACAACATTATGTGTTCGACCCCACGGAAGGCCATCAAAATGTCCAGTAAGATCCTTGGAGTTATTGAAAGTAACTGGTCTCGCAGGATCAATGTCCAGAAGCTGATCAAGTTATTAACACATTTTCTCCTCATTCAAACTAGCGTAGTCGGACGAACCTTCTTCATGTCAAATATTTGAATGCCATGGCCTGGAGCTTCACTACCAATGATCATAAGGTCTCGATAGCCACGAATCTCACGCCACAGGCTCGGAATAGAGTACTCGGGTAAACGGCCGAGATATATCATCTTCCCCTGTTTGTTAATCTCTACGAAAGCGGCACCATCCCTTTGCCCAATGGCCACAAATTCGCGGCCATCGGGGGAGGTCCACCCCCAAGTAGAGGAACCGCCAACCAACTTACTTCCTAGGTTGGCGTGGCTAAGGAAGTGATAAAGGTCAATCTAGTCCAGGTTAGGAGAGAGTTTAGATTCTAAGACGGAGTCAAATATACATTGTTGCATCGGAAAGTCATATTAGCATTGCCGGGCTCGACAATGGCGGTGCCGTTAATGCATTCGACAACACCTTTGATCTCCGGATACAGGTCAGAGTTGAGTCTGCCCGCCGCCTCCTGCCGAGCGAATGTTTCCTGGATGAATGTCAACGCCAAGCTCTGAATCGTATGGGTGTGTGGCGCCTACCATCTTCAAGGCGATATTGTTTGCATGTCTGATGCCGGAGTCGTACAGCTGAGCAGCTTTGACCAGGTCCTTGGGAAGCTCTTTGGCCGCCACAAGAGCGGCCAGAGAGAGCAAGAGAGTTTGGATTATCATTTCAAATTAGTCCCCTTGGAGGAAGCGAAAGGGAAGGAGATAGAGAGAAGGAAGAATGAAGTGCAAGGGCTTTATATCTCAATGGGACAGCATGGAAGCGGGAGATCCGAGTCTCGACGAGAAGCATTGCAAATGTCTCGACCCGGTCAATAGGCAGTCTGCCTTCCAAATCGCGCTGGCATAGCCCACGTCAACTTGAGCGAGCACGACATCATGATTGGCAAGCGTACCATACATTGATGAGCACCGAGGTGCCTGGAGAGTGGGACTTTCGGGTGCATAAATTAAACGAAAGCTTGAGGGGTGTGACGAGCACACTGAAGGGGAAGGAGAACAATTTGGACTGCTTGGCGGAACAACGATGCCCCAGTCCCGCCGTGGCACCGTGACAAGTACCGAGCATGCCCAGATTGCAGATCTATAAGGAAAAAATGCGATAGAGGGTTTTTTTGGCCTGATAAGAGGGTGTTAGCCGTCTCCATCTTAGCTGAAACTCTCGACTGCACAATGCAGACGACGAAACCTGGCTAAAACTAAACTGCCCTTTTGAGTTCTAGGAGCAATACAGTCGCACCATTGCACGTGGACGGTTACGTGGGGCATCGGAGCTTTTGGGAAGGCCATTCACGGCTGCATGCCGCAAGAAGAGCCTTATCAGGTGTTGTATGCGCCACAAGCAACGCATGCAACTTCATTTAGCTCGATAACGCGTTGCAGGCTTCGTTCAATGAAGCGAGGATGATCATGAAGGATGAGCGGAAGTAAGACTGAACGGGTAGCGTAGCCATTGGGATGGATGTGGACTAGGTGGTTGTGGGGAGTATGGAGGAAGGAACGACAATGAAAGGGACAGACGAAGTTTGAGGTGCAGGATTTAGGCCAGCCAATCGGGTGGCGGATATTCTCAGCTGACGTCACCACATACTTACTTAGGCAATTTGAGTTCTAGCAAGTGCACACAACAAGGCTGCGCGCCACTAAGGTGCTCTTGTTCAAACAATCGATTGTCGAGAAGAACAAGCGCAAGAATAGAATCGTCAGGGCGAATATGTTATATAACGAAGGAATTGCGACTTGAATCAAGCATCTCGACCTCGACAAGCTGAGGTCCTATTACAGGACCCTGGATTGCTTGAAACTCTTCTTCCCTAGCAACCTGCCTATTAATAAGGGAGCCGAGGGGTTACCAACTTATTACATCGACAACTAGATTAAACTCTCCCTAAAACTCTGCGACTTCAAACACTAGACATAAATTCCAATGGCACATCTTGTAGGCCCTGCCTGGAGCTTCCCTGCTTAATGACATACGTCTTTTTAGTGGCTATAATTCCTCTTTCGGAACCTCAAGGCACTACAACTCTTTAGGAATTTTCTGAATTTCTCTACTCCCAACATTCGAGCCGACTTTCTAGTAACTGAAGGCGCACGGCTGAGATTCCTCAATTGTAGGTTTTCCCACATGCACTGCCAGCAACCATTATGCGGGAATACCATAACTGACATCTGACTATCGGGCCTTATACGCTGTGCAAGCACTGAGGTTATGGCCAAACGGGCGCGCCAATTGCCATGCGCTCTGACAACGGCCATCTCCGTTGGATGGTACAGTACCTCGTCCCATATCTTGACAGAGCACACTTCTACCTTCAGAATACCATCCTGTAATTGACTGAAGGGCGGCTGTGGCCCCAGCCGAAATATATTGTCGGCAACATGGTCAAAGGTCTCCAAAATACTGACATCCGCAACCCACGTCCCAGAATGGTGGGTTGAGATGACTGATTCGATCATAGACACCTGAGAGTCTTGTCCAACATTCACATTTGTATCGTATGATGGGGCTTGGTGACTTGTTTAAAAATAAATGAATGAGTTTAGGGAGAAACTATCGGCTTGTTCCTCGTCAAATTCGGCTAGATCTATTAACAAAATCTTCGCATCATCAGCCTCCATACGTCAGCGATGGGTCGTACATGAACTCATAGCAGTCAGCGATAAACGTACTCTTTGAAGGAAGTGATAAACGTGTCATGCTTGAAACGTCAATAGAACCCCCCTGAATATAAGGCGATGATCCCATTTAGGTCCAGAGTGTCTGGATCGCACACTCCTGAATCAAAGTATGCTGCCACAGAAAAGGCTAGGCTGGGGTCCTTCCACAACAGCAAAGTTTCCACCACTTTAACCCCAGCATACGTTTTGTGAACAATTAAAAGAGGCTGTGGTGGATAAATGTTTATGAATACGTCGTGAACTACTCTTAAAGCGCAGAAGATCCAAGTTGTGGTACTTGTGGTGGACAAGTACCCGGAGAGGTTTAGAACACAGAAATTGTATCTATGTCTCCACAGAACAGTGTAAACTCCACGTCATTGCTGCTCAAAGTATCATCGCCATGTCCTCCTAATGCTATCGCTATGTAGGATATGTATGACCTCGCATTTAGGGGTTTTAGCCGCAACGAAGTTATGATCCAGCGATTTTTGGTACTTTGTTGTTGAGCATTAGCTATACCTGGGTTTTTGTCCGTCTGGGGACTAAAAAAGCGTGGCCATGTGGGTGATATTGCAGTGTATCACCTTCGGACTTCTCGAAATCGTCATCCGTATTCGTTCCAAATCCTCGCCTTTCCGCCAACGTCTTCCCCGTCGTCAAATAGATCTTACACAAGATCATTCATCGGGGCTAGTTCCCGGATGGAGTGTTACCCCACTTCTCCTACGATAATTAAACGAGGTCGAATGAGACTGTGTGATAAGTAATTCGCGCAAAACCTATCAACCAACGATGTAAAATACCGTAGAAAAGCGGTCTGCGCCTCCGAGCCATCTAAACATGCCTGTAAAGTGGGCAAGTTTGGGAAGCCATAGAACTGAGGCTCTAGCAGTCTTGACTTATCTCAGGCCTTAGCTGGCAAGTGAAGCGATTCCCTAATAAAATTAGTCCCTCTACCTCTTCTAAATCGAGTCAGCCTGTTCGCTTGATTCAACTCCTTGTCCTGAGCAGAGTTGTATTTAAGAGCAAAATTGCTGATCAGACAGGCAGGTCTAGTATTCTGACTATAAAGGAGAACTCTATCGACATTCTACCTGGAGTGGACAACTCTATCGACGTGTTCATGTATTGGTGGATGACTGAACCGTGGGCCAGGGAGGTATATACACAAGCTAGGGGAGCCAAGCCTTTAGTGGATTGGGCAGCCCTCCAGGGTACAAAAAGCACCGGGAGGGGAAACTTTCGAAAGGAAGGCGCTTTTGAAATATGCATTGTCACATTGTCACATGTTCAAGCCTTCTTTTGGCCTTGAAATTTTGGCATAGTGTCCACGACCCAAGGCAACATAGAATGGATACGCACGAAGTATATGGTAAGGACCCGAAGACCATTTCCAGATCCATTTTATTCTTGAGTCTATTTTGGAGTCTTCATGCCGTCTTCATGCCGCCATCATCATCCGGAATGTCGCATACCCGCAATCGTCCAGCCTTTTTCTCATGCACCCTACAATTTGCTCTCAATCTTCTTGAGGCAGTCCTGGAATTCGCTCCAGTCATACATGATGGCAGCACACTTGGTCTCCTCGGTGAGCAGCTTAGCCATCTGCTCCATCTTCTCCTTGCCCTCTTCAATGCCGTAGATGCCGACGTAGCCAATGCACGGAATGTTCGCGCGCATCGCAGCAGTGGCTCCGCTCTTGCTGTCCTCGACAGTGACGCACTCCTCCGGTTTCACGCCTAGCTCTTTGCAAGCGTGGATGTAGATGGCGGGGTCGGGCTTAGAGCTCGGGGGGCTGAGAGAGGTGGCGGCTGAGTAGACATGCTCGTTGGGAAAGAAGTGGGCGATGCCAATCTTCTCGATGGAAGCCACAACGCGGCTCTTTGCAGAGGTGCTGACAACAGACATAGGGTATCCTTGCTCCTTGATGGTGGTAAGTTCCCTCGTCACTCCTGGGCACTCAACAGCCTTCTCGCTGAGCTTCTTGGTGACAGCACCCAACTCCCTCTCTACAAAGTCTTCAAGCTCGTCGTCGGTCATGGTGAAGCTGTGCTTCGCCTGCAGGCCCTTTAACATACCACGAAAGTTGTGGCCAACAAAGTCGTCGAGGAGGGACTCGGCCGTGTAGCGGGTCTCGATGTTGTGCTTCTCCATGACCTCGTTGGTCAGATCGGCACAAGCCTCAAAAGCTAGATGCTCTGACTGGGCGAGCGTGTTGTCGCAGTCGAGGAGAATATATTTGGCCTGTTCACATGTTAACGCGGGGCATTGTATGGTGGGGCAGCAGCCTTGGGTGCTTACCTTGCCCATTGTGACGGCTGATGCAAGATTTGTGGTTTGAAGGGTACTGGTGGTGCAATTGAGGGAGCTATCGAGCGGACTGGGCTGCGAGGGAGACGGGAAGTGTTTGTCTAGTGGAAAGGTGAAGGATGTGAGCTGGCAGACGGCGCGGCAACAATGAGGGCGTTCCAAGACGCGGCTTTACGTCATTGGCTCCTACGCGAGCTTCCTTCACGTGTCCCGACTGGACACTTCCGTTGGGCATCATCATCTGAGGAACGTGATTCCACTCCTGCATCCGGATGCGTCTCGGTAAGATCATTCATCATGGAGAGCTTTGAGTTGCACCTTAGGCGTCATCTACTCAATTCGATAGCTATCACCCTCTTTCATCCCATCTTCAAAACAGCCCACGTCCAATACTTGACCCCACGCATCGTCATCGTTGCTTCTTTCCGGAAAAATTTCTTCCAAAGTCGTACCAAGAGGCTCGCTAGAGGAAGGCCTCTATCTCCGGTTTCTCTTTGGACCAACCCTACGCATCTCCTCGGAAGCAGGAGCTCGTCTGTCATTTTGACCGTCATATAGCAAAAATCGATTTACTTTACAACCTAGAATATGTAGCCATTGAAGGGAGCCCGAAAATTTCCTTTCTACAAGAAAAATGCCGCAATGCCCACAGCATATCTTCCTCGTCCTTTGGTGAACTACAATTTGCGGCTGGTCTCCGTTCCTAAAACGGTCTCCTCGCGCTTATTCCCCACACGTGACCCGGGTGTAATTACCTGAGGCTTGGACAACACACTTAGCCGATCGAGAAAGTTAAACGGTCCTCAAACGCCGCCGCGACAGCACAAGCCCTTGGTGAAACGCCAAGCCATTGCCAAGTTACCTCAAGCCTCCTCTGAGTTAGCCAAACATCTCCATTCATCTTGCGATGGGCTTTCGACAACCCACCACCTTGCTAGCATCCGCACCGTCGCTTGGAGAGAGCGCATCGTGATATCAATCACCTTTGACCTTTTGATTGCACTGTAGCTCACTCTCCTGGCAAGACGCTCAGACAAATGCTTGAAAACATAGTTACTTCTGTGTTTGAGTACAAATTACAAACAACACACTTGAAGGACATCAAACGCGGAAGGCATGAAGGAATATCGTTTCATCGCTCTCCGTAAACCTCTTCTGTGCGCCAGCATCGCATTTCTCTGCTTCAGGTAGGGAAGAATCGTAGAATCGATCCGGCCTTCCGTCTTCCGGTGTACCTTTATTCTGCGTCGCGTCCCTCTAGCACTCTATCCTGTCTTGCCTTCGCTTTTTGTTCTCTGTGCTGGTCACTCGTTATTATAGATTTCTATTTTATTTTCTTCCGCAAAAAAGATACCCAACTCCAGTGTCCTCGTTCGACTCTATCGCTAAACCGCAGCTCAATTCTTCAAGATGCGCGTGTCTGCTCTCTTGTCCACGGCCATTTTCACGGCCACGGTCCTTGCACACGGCAATGTAACAAGTCCTCCGTCTCGTCAGCCCGGTGCTGCCATGCAAAAAGTCTGCGGAGCCCCGGCTGTCGCTGCCATTCTTGCCGACGGAACCGGCCCTCTCGAGAACATCCCATCTAACGGTGCCGCCAACTGGTATGCTTTAGTCCCTAAAAGTTACGGCTCTAGAGTACTAACAACGCTGTCTAGTAACATCTTCATGTGCAAAGGTGCACAATTCGCCGACAACCAAGCTAACGTCCAACAATTTACGGCTGGCGAAATTGTCAACTTCGAAGTCCAGCTTCCGATTCCTCATGAGGGCCCGGCGAACGTTTCGATTATCGATACGGCTACGAATACGGTGGTCGGACCTCCGCTCATTGAGTTTGATAGCTATGCTGATGAGAACTTGGCGGTCCTCCCGCTGAATAACACTGCGTTCAGTGTCACCATGCCGGCGAATCTCGGGGCAAAGTGCGCGGTTGCTGGTGAATGCGTGATGCAATGGTTTTGGTTTGGGACGGCTGCTGTGCAGACATATGAGAATTGCGTCGATTTCGTAATGGTGTAGGTCAGGCCTTGGATGGCTACCTAAGATCCTAGTGTTCGCAAACTCGGCCTGGGCTCAAGATTCGATTTCGTGTCAAATGCAACTGAGAGCAGCCTAGGAGGAAGCAACAGCAGCTCACGTAGGTGTGGAAATGGGTCTGGAGAAATTAATAAAGATGCGGGCTTCGACGATACCTTTATTCCCTATGGATGACCTAATCTCGTTGAATCCACTCGCAACGGAGATCAAAAAACACTCTCCCTTCAGTTGAAGCCTTGTTCTCACCTTCTCCTTTTCTTTTCTTTTGCTTCTTCTTTTGTATTTGATAATTTCGTATATACAAGAATCCTCGGTTGTGTTTCGGCATATTTCTACACCGTAATCGTCTTCATCCCACAGCCAATATCCCTGATTCACGTCTTGCCAGTGTTGAATTATGCGGTTGAATCTCTACGATTCAATCCAAGGAATATATCGCAGCCTTGCTATCTAGCCTACCCTTAGCCATACCTCCAGTCAACCGACTCGACTCTCTAAAAACAACGTACAGAATTCGCCACCTCACAAGGATATAGCCGGGGCGGGCCTGCTAGCTCTCGTGGGCTCTTAGGAAGTGCCGGCTTCGTGTCCATTAGGAGACCAAGTTTGCCGCGGGCTTCTTTCATATTGTTATGTGGTACATTTGTCATTCGCCCCACACTATGATGCCAAATCAGCTGTATAATACAGCCTGGCAGGGTATCAGTGTATATTGCTGAGCTCATCTTCTCTACTAATGATAACAAGACAGATCGGCATAGGATTTGTACCAGACCGCATACAACAGATATCTAAAGATTTTATAGCTAGACCATCCGACTACTATTGCATGTAGGAAGCGCGACTACAAAATCTGCGTATAAAGGTAAATTATACCAAAGGGAATTTTCCAAAAGAGAGCAACATAACAATTGTTTAAACAGTAATGTTAAATTTTTTATTGCACCCAAAGTTCTACAATTATAGCAGACGAAGAGAAGAGTTTCGGGAAGATCTATGAGCCAAGGCAAAACATGAATGTGTGCCGTACGAGGAAAGTTATTTCAATTTTGCCACGCTTCCAAAGTACCAAGAGACTGTAGTGTAGACGGATGATTTCTGCCAAGTTTTCTCCGCTGTAAGTTGGCACAATTAGCCATTAACTTGATAGCTTCATCGTAACGGCATTGAGACCTCCATGTCCACGCTAGGTTGTGCATGCTAACCAGTGTTTCTGGATGGTCGATGCCAAAAACTACCTCCTTCATACTCAGTGCTTCTGCCCCTAGTCTCTCTGATTCCACAAATATTCCTTGACTGTCGAGCGTCAATGCAAGGTTACCAATGCTGATGAGCGTGTTTGGATGGTCTCGCCCAAGTACCTTCTCTCTTGCTTTCAGCGCCCGCCGGTGCATTACTTCGGCCTCTTCATACTTTCTCAGCCCCTCCAACACCAACCCAAGGTTGCTGACGCTGGTGAGAGTGTCTGGGTGGTCTCGACCAAGCACCTTCTCTCGTGCTTCCAGCGCCTGTCGGTGCATTGCTTCGGCCTCTTCGTACTTGCCCTGCCTCTCCAACACCAACCCAAGGTTGCTGACGCTAGTGAGAGTGTCTGGGTGGTCTTGCCCAAGTACCTTTTCTCTTGCTTCTAGCGCCCGCTGGTGCAGTGCTTTGGCATTTTCGTACTTGCCCTGCCTCTCTAACACCAACCCAAGGTTGCTGACGCTGGTGAGGGTGTCTGGGTGGTCTCGACCAAGTACCTTCTCTCGTGCTTCTAGTGCCTGTCGGTGCATTGCTTCGGCCTCTTCGTACTTGCCCTGCCTCTCCAACACCAACCCAAGGTTGCTGATGCTAGTGAGAGTGTCTGGGTGATCTCGCCCAAGCACCTTCTCAGACCCTTCTAGGTCTCGCCGGTGCATTGCTTTGGCTTCTTCGTACTTGCCCCGCCTCTCCAACACCAACCCAAGGTTGCTGACGCTAGTTAGAGTGTCTGGGTGGTCTCGCCTAAGCACCTTCTCTCGTGCTTCCAGCGCCTGTCGGTGCATTGCTTCGGCCTCTTCGTACTTGCCCTGCCTCTCCAACACCAACCCAAGGTTGCTGACGCTGGTGAGAGTGTCTGGGTGGTCTCGCCCAAGCACCTTCTCAGATCCTTCTAGGTCTCGCCGGTGCATTGCTTTGGCTTCTTCGTACTTGCCCTGCCCCTCTAACACCAACCCAAGGTTGCTGATGCTGATGAGAGTGCCTGGGTGGTCTCGCCCAAGTACCTTCTCCCTTGCTTCCAGCGCCCGTCGGTGCATTGCTTCGGCCTCTTCGTACTTGCCCTGCTTCTCCAACACCAATCCAAGGTTGCTAATGCTGGTGAGGGTGTCTGGGTGATCTCGCCCAAGCACCTTCTTAGATCCTTCTAGGTCTCGCCGGTGCATTGCTTCGGCCTCTTTGTACTTACCCTGTCTCTCCAACACCAACCCAAGGTTGCTGGCGCTGGTGAGAGTGTCTGGGTGGTCTCGCCCAAGCACCTTCTCAGATCCTTCTAGGTCTCGCCGGTGCATTGCCTCGGCCTCTCCGTACTTACCCTGGCTCTCCAGCACCAACCCAAGATTGCTGACGCTGGTGAGCGTGTGTGAATGGTCTCGCCCGAGCTCCTTCTCATATCCTTCCAGCGCCCGCCGGTGCATTGCCTCGGCCTCTTCGTACTTGCCCTGCTTCTCCAACACCAATCCAAGGTTGCTGACACTGCTGAGCGTGTCTAGGTGATTTGCTCCTAAAGCAGTCTCCCTTGCCTCTAAAGCACTTCGACCCATCTCCTGCGCTACGTCATAGTTTCCCATATCATCTGCATACCATGCAGCTTTGAAAAGAACCGATGCCCATGTCTCTAGAGCGCCATTGCTAGCTGGCCGACACGCTACTGTTGCTTGGGCGTGCGGGAACAGCGCTTGGCATACTTTCCAGTTCTCGTACCGTCCTACCGGGTAACTATCATCCATAAGCTTGACGTACTTTTCCCTCCAGCCCTCCATTCCGCCTTGTAGCTCCAGCCATTTTCTTGTTGAGAACTGCACAAGCCGGTGCATCTCAAACTGGTGCCCGTCTACGTCTGTTGCAACTAAAGAGAAACTCGTCAACGTGTTCAAGTCGTCCTCAAAGTCAGGGCTGGCATTGTTGTCCTCTTGATAGCGACCACTAACCAGGGACTCTGGAATCCCCTGCCGATCAAAAAGGCTCATGAGTGACAGCAGCCGTGCTGCCGAAGGCTTTGCTGTACGGATATGCTCGAAAGATATCTGCCAGGTAGCAATAATAGAGTTTGACGCCGCTCCGTCCCTACGGGAGTCGTCAATATCCATTTCCAGAAGTTTCCCTCTCTCTTGGTCGCCTTTGCGGAGATCCTGCAAATATCTTGACATCGTAGCACGCGGTGCTCTCCGGCTAATGTAAGCGGCGGCCTGAGTGATAGCGAGGGGCATGTAGTCAAGCGCTTCAACAAGCGCAGCCGCATCGTCCTGTTCAAACCTCTCCTCAAGCTTGTTTCGGAGCAAGGCCAGAGCATGTGCTTGGTCCATTGGTTGAACTCTGATGATGTCTGCGTAGCTTCCCGTCAGTCGGAAAGCGACCTCCCGGCTCCGGGAGGTGATAAGGATAGACCCATTTGTTGACTGAGGCAGAAACTCTAGCAAAGAGGCCGTTGCATTTTTGCTATCATCTTTATTACTTTTACTTCTCTGTGACGAACGGGGAAAGACTCCTAGATCATCTGCATTGTCGATGATCATCACCCAGCGACCATTTGCCTCATCGCACAGCCAGCTGTGGACAAGCTTTAGAATGTCCCCATCTGGGTGATCCCAGCTAGGAAGCCTAGCTCGTTCGGCAATCTTCTGGTAGCCTTCCTCGAACCTTGCTCTGGTACTTGCATGCACCCAGAAGACCCAGGTAGCTGGCGACTTTTCTCGTACCTGGTAAGAGTATTCAATAGCAAGCTGCGACTTCCTTTTGAACCTGTTAGATAATGCTTTCAGGGAGGAAACTAGGCTTACCCCACGCCACCAAGGCCAACAAGTGCTGTTCTAAACGCAGACTGTTGACTCTTAGAATGTATTTCAGAAAGGATGTGGCGGTCTACAAAGTGTGGATCTCGCCTGAAGGGAACGGTGGAGGACGGGGCTGGTCGGGCCAGGGTTCGGTCTGTTAGGAATGGAGCGTTAGATTGTAAGTATGCTGCATAGAGTGTAGAAGGATCATACCTGCTAAGGGTCTTAGCGAGGTGGCAGCGTGGTATGTTAGGGTCTGGATATACCCCCGGACTACCGCGGTTATCTTCTCTACCTTTGCGTCATACCGAAGGCTCCCAAGTGCCTTCCTACTTCTTCTAGCCCAGGAGTCACCTAATGCAGGTAGTGCTTTTTTAGTTAAATCATCTAGTGCCTTTATTTGTTCTGCACACCCTTTAATAGCAGGCAGGAGCGCTATTCGGGATTTATCTTGCATAGATCCAGCTTCAATCGATGCTTTCGTCTCCTGGAGGGCATCTAGCAGTACAGGGAGCTCGGTTTTAATGTGGCGGAACGCTTCTGGGATCTCTCCTAACCTGGACTGATATTCTTCAAGACGTTTCAGAACCTTGGAGCCGAACCCAACGAGCTGGATTATGTTGGCGACGATGCCAACTACGGCTACCGCTTCCGCCATCTTATCGCAACAACTCTCGAGGCACGAGGCGAACTTCTTTTGTGGGAAGAAGAAACGAGTTATATCCACAGGAGGGTATCGAGGACGCCAATAGCGTTTGGGTAGAGTCCATTAAGTGGGCAGGCTACAGCTGCGCCTAGCGAAGCTGAAGTGGCGTGTTTTGGCGTTGCCATGTTAGGCTAGTGCCACGAAAACTAAAAACAGCATACCTCGTATTGCACAATCAGTTAAGTATTTTCACATGGGGCGGATGACAAGTGTGCCAATGAACGATGTTCAAGAAGCCTGGCAAATTCAATCTGCTAACAGACGCAAAGACGGCACTTGCTGAGAACTGGGGAGTGTTAGTAGGGAGGATGGCCGGCGAAACCTTATAATATAGGCACCACTCCACCCCTCATCTGGAGGGGCGTAGCATTGCACAGATACCTGAACTGTCCAATACTACTCTGTTATCCTTCCTAACCCAAGCGCTCCCCCGTACTCCTCACCATTCACTCAGAGTGCACTGAAGCACGATATCGCCCCTCTGAAATCCCCTCCACACCGTATCGGACTGTAACACCTGCGTACGACCTAGGCATACCCTCCTCCAACCGTACACCTACCCTTTCTTCTACAGCCATATATCCACACTGCCACTACGCTTAACGATATTAAGCGAAGGTGTGATAATAGTAATAAAGCAATCGTAACCTCCCAGGTAGGAGGGGTTTCAATGTTTAGGGGTGGCTATAGCACACAACTTATACAGAAATATAGCAAATATTAACGTGCGTACAGAGCCTGAATTGCTTAAAGTCCTTAATCATTTTCTCGGCACGGAAGGATTCTCACCACACAGGGAGGGACGTTACACTAGTGACAGCATCATTACATTACTCTTAGAAGTACGCACGCAATTTCGTACAATTTTCATTGACAACCCTATAAACCACCACCAAACTACAAGAACAAAAACGAAGCGACTTATTAGGAAAGGAGCGTTCGCACGAGCCTACCTCCTGCTCACCGCCGTCCACATACCCCTCCTTTCTTCTCCATCCCCTTTCCCTAGCGAAAACTGCAGCTCAACCTTCAACATAATCTCTGCCTCCATCCCCACCTTTGTCTCCTCTCCCTTATATCTCCCCAGATTTTCCACCCGCACAATTCTCCTAAGATCATCCGCGCCCTTCTATTTCAGAATTAGTGTAAAAACCCATTCGTCGCAGTGCTCACGACTTTCAAGAATGTCATCTCTCCTACCAAAACCATGTAACATTCTATTCTAATCCCTTGATGGGAGTTTGGAGGACTCACGTTGCGTCCAGAACGTGGGTCTGAGATTCACCAAAACACAAACTCATACCTGTTCTTCCACTCCTCTGCGATACACGCTAGGGCAAAGCTTTGTTGTTGGGTAGTCCTCGAGTGGAAAATAGTTGGCTGTTTTCTTCATTCGTCTCAACCGGCGGTCTTCCGAAAACACTCGCCACTTGCCTGAGCTTAGAAACAAGCCCCACAAACACCATGATGCCTCATTGGCGGCGAAATATTTCTCAACTTAGTCATTATCCAAGGCGCCGATACTATCTGTAATCAGGCCGATCCACTCTCTACCAGTGCCTGTACCTCTCTATATATCATGGCTGCCCCTAGAGGCTCCGCATCAAGACATCACTCTTCCGCTGCACCACCACCCAGGCTTATGCTATCAAATGCAATAATACGCGTAAAGATGCTAATTCGAGCGAGTAGTTTCGCTGTATAACGAAAAATACAGCACGATTTTATAGCTCTTTAAATTCGTAGACCGTTGAAATAGGTGGAAATAGGTGGAAGGGGGGAGTTGGCTGCTCGAGTACAAGCACAGCGTTTGTGTCCCGTTGAGGTTGAATTCGATTTTGTCGAGGAAGAATATTTTATCTTAGCATGGAGCGCTGGGATTAGTTGGGTGAGGAGACTGGTGATGAGCAAAGGTTGGAAGGAGACAATGGTGAGTAAGCGTGAGGGGGGTGATGTTTTTAGGGGAGCTGTGGGTTAGGTGCTCTTTTGAAGCCCTTCTGGGAGACGGGCTAGGATTTATTGGTCTAATATTTGTAGTTTTAGACAATCATATCAATCCACGGCCAGACAGTAGACGTTGTGAATGAGCAGTGTGTTGTGCAATGGGTGGTAAGGAGGCGGTGTGCTTCATTGTAGATATGGGTAACGACCAATAGATTGTATATATCTTTTTGGTCCATGTTGTGGTCTCGGCAAAAGCATTGTGATAATATGAGGAGACCTGCATTTTGTTTGCGAGATTGACAGCAGGTCTTAGGCAAACTTAGAACTAGTTGGGGTAAAACAACAGGAAGTAGTGTTAGGGTTTGATTCTGGGTTTTCGGGATGAACGATGTAATGAGCAATTGGTCTTGGCGGTTGCTGAAGCCCTTAGGTACTCTCTCGAAAGACAACCAAGTGGTGTGACAACATATAAGTAGCTAGAGGAACTCCGGCAAACATTTTTACCAGTGTGAAGGAACTGTGATCACCGAAATCATCTTTAGAGGGAGAACCCGAAATATTGGTCAAGCTAAATTGCAACATCGTGTATATTCTAAAGCTATTCTTTAGTAGTGAAGAGGTCAGAACCCATCACGTGATGTGGCGTTATGAGGCGTCGGGCACAGCTGTCAGCCACAGCCCCCACCTGAGGCCTTGACTGCCCCAGGTCCAGGCATCCACCTCTCCGCCCTTTTCTGCACCCAACAGACATACCGAAGAAAATCTCTTGGCTTCTATATGGTTCGGCTAACCAATCCCCATTGTGAGTCAATCAGTGTTTGGGTTCTCTATCTAAGTCATCGAATGAATAGTCATTCTACACGGAGAACATATTCCGTTGTCAAAAACCCCATTTCATTATTTTTCCACCACAGGAACATGGCTTCAGCAACAGTTTTCTCCAACTTGGAGGCCCCAATTCTCCCTAAAGCAGTTCACTGGGTCGAAAAGATCCGACAAAACCTCATCCTCGTGGCCCCATACGATGTCCTAGCAGATGAGCATCTTCCCAAGTCCATCACCATCGACGAAACCATCATGGAAGCCCCACGTCGCGGAGCCGCCAATCCTGAAGCCGCCACTCTTGCAAACCAGATAGCCCAGCTTCTGTATCCGTCACCAGAGAACTCTCTCGGCTCACTTATCAAATACGAGAAAGATATTGTCAAGCTGCGAAAATACATTATTCGCCAGCGAAAACGCACAATTGAACTTGGTACAGAGCGTAACCAACTAACAAATTGGAACGAGAAGATTTTGAAGCAAGGGCCATGGGATCCGATCGAAGATCCGGTGTCTCTTAGCGGTGCACCGAGCTTGCCGATGCCTGTTCAAATTGCAGAGCGGGAAACGTTGGAGCCATTCTTCGAGCACCTACGTCTTGGAGGTACTGAGGAGAAAACGTCAACTCCTCGTGGTATTGAGGATGCGATCGAAGTGGAAGAGCCGCATTACGGAACGAAAACGCTCGAGTTCGAGAATGGCGTTGTGTATTCAGATCGACGTATGGATCTGTGCAAAATGGTTTTAGGGCCTCCGAATATTGGCGAGCTACTTGAGAGCTTGAAGACGAATACTTTCATCACGCACTTTCTACTCGGGAATAATATTATTGGCCCACATGGTGCGAAATGCATCGCGGACTTCCTGAAAGAGTATCCCGATCGTATGGACACCTGGTATATTGCTGGAAATTGTATCGATGCGCCGAGCTTCAAGCTTTTGGTTGATGGATGGGTGCGGTCGTCTTCGGTCACTAATATCTGGTTGAAGAGGAATCCTCTGACATCTGCTGCCGCTGATGATGTGTTTCGGTTGATCACACAAGCCCCGAACCTTCGGACTCTGGATCTCGATCAGACAGAGCTGGGTGACGCTGGTGTGGCAGAACTCTTCCAAAAGTTAGCTAGATATCTTCCTGGCAAGCCTCTAGCTCTCCGGCACCTCTACCTAAACGGAATTGGTATTAGTGTAAAGGCTGCCACTGCAATGGCAGAGTACTTGTCATCACCGCATTGCACCCTGGACTCGCTGTATGCTACGAATAACCCAATCGGTTCAGCCGGAGTTGCAGCTTTTGCTGCAGGCCTGCGAAATAACAAAAGTCTGTCTCGCCTCACGTTTGCCTCTGTTGGATTGGGGGATGACGGCACGATCGCGCTTTGCGAGGCGCTGTACGACCACCCCAACATCAAAACCCTCGATATCGGACAGAGCTATGCTACAATCGACCTTGGGATGAGGTAAGCCATACTCCCCTTCATATATTTCCCTTCATCCAACTACGCAGATGCTAATATTGCGCAGGTACAATTGGATCACCGACCGCAGTGCATACGCCATTCACAACCTCATCACCTGCTCCCCACAACTCTCGTACCTCAACCTCGGCCCCTGCGCCCTTACTCATACTGGCCTCAATGAAGCCCTCCGCGCAATCCTCACTTCCTCCAAGCTTCTCTTCTTCGTCGGCAAAACAATCTACCCGCAATCGAAAAACTCCATGGCCGTCACTGCTGGACAAAAGCACATTGCGCTCCACAAATTAGTCAACAACCAGCTTGCCGAGAACGTAAAACAAGTGTACGGAGCTGATATGAGCTATGCTAAGTTCATGGAGGATGGGAAACGGTGGCTTGTGAATGATATGGCGGATGTGAGGAAAATTGATTCAGTGTATCGGAATCGGGACGCGGGGATGGCGCGCCGTGGGTTGATGAAGTTGGAAAAGTGGTGGGATGAGGATGACCAGACGTTGGACGAGATTATGAAGGGGGCTGTTGGGCCGGTGTGCACGAAGAGGAAGATGAAACTAAATGTTGTGGGGCCCGTTTGCACTCGGCGGAAAGCCATGGAGTTGAGTACATGAAGCTCTCTCGTGGCTAACGAGCATGAGGAGATACATGTGCATACGAGTGGATTGAAAGTTCTGTCACTTCATTCGGGAAGTCAAATCAAGGACAAACATGATATCATCCATGTATATAATTGCTACTAGATAAATCTCAACACCCTTCTCTAAAAGTCTTAGATCCTACCCAGTGCGAAGGAGTTCCTAGAGCCTAACTGAATATTCCACGGCATCTTACCCAAGGGGTGTTATCCATTCCACATCTCACCGACCTTGCACATGATTCTGTCCATGAAGTAGTGTGAGGTTTGTCATTTCCCTTGAGAGTTCATCCGAGTTCTACTAGGATCCAAGAACGATAGCTAGTAGTACTGGGCTTCCTTCCTGGCACTATCGTTCGGGTGAAAAATACCAGTAGGAAAAATTCGGACAGGTTCTCTATCTCAAAGTTAAAATGGTCAATGATCGTTATAGAAGGAAACGGACGTGGAGGCACCTATCAAGGTGGAGGGAGATGGTCTCAAGCATTTTAGTAGTAATCTAAGTGGGTCAGTGGAGGCTATGTTAGAGTACTAAGGGTGAATTGTAGCGCCTCTAAGAGCTACTAAGCAAAGGCCATCAGGATTCTGTTTGTGCAGGCATTTACTACAAAGTTTGTTAGGCTACTTGGCGAATACCTCTATCTTTCTCCGTCACGGACCCGGAAAACGATAGTCGCAATATGTTAACCTGAACGCGCGTTTTAAACAAGAAGACACATTAACCCTATTCCGAGGACCAAGTATGGCGCGGTTGAGCATCGAACCCTCAGGTCTTTAGTTTAATGTGCACTTTCAGGCTAGGGATGATTCTACTGTTTACGCAGTAATCTCCAATAGCCAGTCGCATATGACAATTTCGCCTTGGGGATTAGTAAGAAACGAAAAAGAGTCGTGCCAACATAAAAGATTTGATTGTTTTAACTGCCCGTAGTTGCTAAATAGGGTTAGGGTTACACAAAAACGTCGCCTTGGGCTAAACTCTATATATGTGATAGGATAGGGTACGGGACCAGTGAACTCAGAAACTGCTCGAGGAGTAAGGTGGATGTATTCGTGACCCGTATGATGGGTATTGGGGTTAATATGCGGAAGGGTTAGAGAAAAAGTGTGAGTTGTTGCTGAAGTTGAAGCTGTGGTAGAAAAATAAAAAAAAATACGAGATCCGTGATCGGAGATGGTTGCATTTCAACCTTGCCTAACACGATGCCCATATATGCTCAGATTGAGCCACGATCTTCTATCCTTGTCACGCGCTGTGTATTAGGGGTCGGACACGCTCAAGAGATCTTGATTCTGGAGGACCAGGGGTGTTACACGTTGCTGACGCCAAAGTCACCCTATCTCAATTGAGATCCGGTCCGGAACAAAATGATCAATGACTGCCGACGTCGATCTGAAAGTCTTGTACCTTTCTTGAAAACCCCCAAAACTAAGATTCTCCAAATCGTCGGGGTGCAAAGAAAGAGACGAGTCGGTGAGAAGCGGTGCTAGATAAGCAAGACCGACTAATCTGTATGTCCGGCTGCTATCGGGGCGCAAGATTAGGGCATGACAGAACATATCCATACTGAAAGAGGTAGGTAGAAGATGCAACAGCTTGTCTCCTTCTTCGGGGTCAGTGTTCGCGATGCCGAGAAAAATTAATGATTGCTCTGTCTTTCGGGAGTGCCCAAGGTACGTCCGGGTGTGGAAAAAAGTGTAGCAATCGCAGAATTTGTTGAACCTGTCTGCTGTTATCCTGGAAACAGGGTGGCCGTCCAATATCAGAGGCTGGGTTGGCCGTGAGACATTCTGTCGGGGTTGAATCAGATTCTCATTGGTTGACCATCTGTCGCGAAGCTTTGCTAACGGTGACAGGGTGTCCTTACACAAAGCTTGCATGAAAACGTCCCCATCTTCCTTTGCAAATCCTAATTCGTTCCAGAAAGAGTCTGGAATGTGATCTTTTGCCTCTCTCATCCAGAGAGGGTTGGTCGTGTTCTCGCGCGAATTTGGATCATCATAACGTGCCAAACAGTCAGTCCGCGAGGATAGACTTTGGATGAAGCGCTGAATAAAATGGTTTAGCCAATCACTGGGACCTAGCGACCCACTACCAGAACCAAGAGCTTTTGCGACTTCGGGCAATACCGGCCGTTCATCATCATCCCATACATTGCGCACGTCAACAGTAATAATCACTTTTCCGGGCGCTGGGAAGGAGATGGACCGGGCGGCCCCGTTGAACGGAGAGTTTACCTTCGGGTGCCTTTGAACTTGCCAATCGGGTACCCAGGTCGGAAGTTGAGCTATTCTTGTGCCCGCCGACCGCACAGCCGCTTCACCCAAGATCTCTATGACAGCGCCGCTTAGCATTACTGAAGCCGCAAAGTGCTCGTAGACCGTATTTATGGGCGTTGAATAGCTAAGAAGTACTTCAATATAATCCGAAATGCCGAACCGGTGTCCCTGGACGACAGTCCATGTTTTGGACTTTTTTACGACTGGGAGTGCAGCCTTGATCTCGAGGACGTCGCCTGCAAGTCCACAGAGAGCATAGAGCCTATCTCGAGGCTCTGAGCATTGGAACGCGTCAAATCTGTTCAATATGGTGAGAATCTTACGGACGTTCTTGTCCCGATGTCCATCTTTGGCAAGGAAAGGTAGTCGCGTCCAAAACTGCCACAGCGAGAACAGAGTCTCTAGTGTTTCGAAGGGAACCCCCGAAAGAGTTTTAAGAGCACTTGCCATATTGTTGAGGGACTCTATGGCTGCCATGAAGCGTATCCAAGATATCTCAGCCCTTCCACAGTATAGACTGCAGTCTGGATTGAGCACGATTTCCTGGATGATCCACCTACGACCGAAATATGGTAAGTTGAAAAAGGCAAATAGTTGTCTTAGCACGATGGTCCTAGATTCTTCTGATGTAGGAAGTGGATCCCGAGGTTTCCTAGAGGCAGCATAAAGAAAACGGACAGCAGCCTCCTCCTGGAAACCACCTCCAAGCCAGACCAACACCTGGCGAGCCCCCTGATATATTTCTTTCATGAGAGGAATCTGAAATGCCTTCTCCTCGTCATCTGACTGATTAATGCAGACAGCGTCGGCCCACAGCAAACGAACGTGGACGGCATCACGAAACCTACGTAAGGCTGCGTCCAGATTCTTCGTGATCCCAAGAAAGGTATTGTCGACGGCCGAGTACAGCCGATGCAGAAAACTTGGATCGCCCCAAGTATACGATATGGCCTCATAATTGTGCTGCAAATCCGCGAGTCTACCGTGCTCAAAAGAAAAGCGAAGAGGTGCGTGACGATCTAGGGACGGCTCGAGCCTTATGATGCGAATGTGGTACTCGGACTCGAGTGAAGAATAGTCATAAGGTATTGAGGAGTTTTCAGGGTCGCTTTCCGCCATGTTACTGCTAACCTGCAGGTTGGGAGGTACGGGTTCGGAAAATTTGCTACCTCGGCCGGAGGCATTAGTGCTAGCGGATTCCAAGGATACGCAAACAGTATCATAGCAACACAGTTACTGGGAAAAACTTTCATATACCTGCTACATCCAGATTTTTTTCCACTTCTTATTGAAAACCACAAAAATGACCAACCATGCACCGAAAACGTACTCGCCCGTCTCATCTCCAAAGTTCGCTAACTTTGTCTCCAGAAGGCCACGTTCCGTCGAAGCTTGCGCCGTTACCGGAGAATGGCTCGAGGCATAGTGTGAGATAATTCTCTGCATTATGCAACGGCACTCACAACCTTTGGCGGCTCAATCTGTACATTTTGCCCTTGAAGTAGCCGTGTAGATAATAACGATCGTTGGATTTGACTCAGACCCCGATGCGCGGTGCGGTTGCGCAGTCTTTGCAAAAGGGGCTGTTGGCGTTGGCATATTGCCATGTGGGCTTTTGACAGATGAAGCAGAGCTTATTCAAAGAGGCGACCTTCGTTGCAACATTCCTGGGAGGAGTTTGGGCTCGTAGAAAGAGGGGATCGATACTGCGAGATCGAATCGGTTCAGAGTCAGGAGTAGAATATCGCGGAGGGTCGTGAACAGGACCAAGCTCTTGGATAGGCACACTCTGACATCGCATAGGCTCATCAAGAGGACTATATCGCCTAACAGGTATGAGAGTGAGAGGTTGTGATTTTATCGATTCATGGATAGGAGAATTCCCTGGGACAGTTGCACGGTCACAACTCTCATATTTTACCGACTTATCCGCTATATTTAGGCAGGATCGATTGGGGACAGTATGTTCTGGCAAATAGGAGGTTCGTGTCTCGCCGAGAAGAGGAGTTTGGTCTGGTGACTGCTCTCGATTCCGAGTTGACAGGTGAATTCGGGGTCCGCGATACAGATTCCATGTGAAGGAAACTCCGGAGCCCGCCCACCACGTCCATCTCAATGGGGCTCGCAGAGAGTTGTCGGCATCTTCGCAAGGATGGGGAACCTCTGATATCGTTTTGCTCCTGCTCCTTGGCCACACCATCTTTCTTGATATCAACGCGCGAGGCTAGACCTTGGCTTTGTGCCTTCTCAATACTCCCAAGGTTCTCCAAACGCGTCTACAGAAGTTCTAAATAGTATTAGAACCCTACTGAAGCCACCAGGATCCCAAATACCTAGGGAATCCGAATGTTAACTCCCTGAGAAGTTTATAATAATTAGGAAAACTAGGCTTGCATATCACTCCTAACGATGTGATGTCGCAACGCCCCGTGAGGAGATCGAAGGTACGGGGAGCTGAGGGAAAGGGAGGAATTTGAAATTACTAAAATTTGGCAGCGCAAACGATTCTCGGGAAGTTTCGAGAGAGAAAAAGAGCTGCAGATAGGTCGCATGAGCAATGTACTGTCCTGGAAGCGTGAACAGAAGGCGCGTGGCTCGACTAAGGATTGGATCGCTGATTCTGTTACACATAATCCATGGATATGAGAAGAGCACATGGATTGTGTCCGATGTTGGCTCCCCAGGTAGGTTCAGCTCCTCTGACTAGTCAAAATAGGTGAATCTAACCCAGCACGCTCGACCCACACGATCCCCTCATCGGACTATCATGCATACAACAAAATCTAATGAGTAGCGCCCTGTAAATTGCGAAAGGCTACTGAACTCGGCACTTTAACTTCAAAATCGAAGTTGAATCGGGGATCTTGCGATTCCCATTCGCTTGTTCCTTCACTTGACTACAAGTGACAGCCACGCCGCTATCGCCCCATTACTTTGTTGGCTGACTCCCTCATTAATGGTGACGAGTCTAATAGAGAATTCCGGGAGGTCATGAGGCGCAGCAGTCAGAAAGCTTGTACTGTTGGAGCCGTGGTCTTTCAATTTGGAGAAGCTCAACATGAAGACAATCGTCGGCCGTATCCATGGGAAAACGTGGTTCTTCAAATCTCGACACTAGTTAACACTGCTGCATTTTGGTCGTAAGCAGCCAGGCTTTTGAGCGATGCATGGCTGTCCATGGTATTGTATGGTCATGCAACCAGGCCTAAACTGAACAAGCGAAATTCTGGTTCTTGGGCCGCGTGGACGGCCGGGTGAAGGCAAGAAACCTGGTGGCTACCTCTCGCTTGGGGACTTTAGGAGGCCAAACACTAGAGAGAATAACAATGTAACACCCTTTGTAAGACGACCGTATGGAAAGACCTCATCATTTATCAAGAGATAAGTCACTGCATTTTCAGAAGGCTTGAGGGGTAAGTACTTGGACCGTATCGGGCTGGTTTCAATAAATTCAGAAGTTCTGTCAGCTAAGTCCCATAGTCTAACATTTCGGTAATGCATATCACTCTTCAATCCGATGTTGAGTGTTGAGCTCGTGGAGCTTGGTTCATAGAAATTCCGACCCAAAACACTCATCACCGGTCTCCGGATATTCTTTCCCCGACATAGAAGCCTGATGCGAACTTTGGTTTCCCCCAGAGTCACGAGCTTCCAAAAAAACATGATCATCTCAGCACCGGCGATAAAACGGCAAAGACCAGAACAAAACACGTGAGCGATAAATTCACGTGACTGTCATCTCCCGACCAGGAAAATCCTTCATCGCTTACGCTCACCCCAGACGCGTAAACAAACAACACTTGCCATGACTCTCCACAAACCTCATATTCAAGCATCTTTTCGTGCGCTTGACATTGCGTTAATCAGGTGTTACGCGCATTCATTTATGACGACAAATATTCACCGTCTAAGTTGAAGATTTTGCGTCTTGCTGCACGATATAGCCCTGCATTTGCCCTTGAATATTTTGTCCCTGCATTTGAATACTACATGCATGCAGATCACCAACTTTATGGATATTCAGCCACATTTCGTATCATTCACCAAGACCCATCGCTTTTCCCAAAGAAACATCAGTAGCATATAACCTGTATCTATCTATTCCGGTCTCACATCTCGCGCCACCGATCATTCCAACGCTCGTCCAACTATCCAAGTCCTCCCTCTTGAGAGCAACTCTCCTCAACCCACGATTTTAAAACAAAACCCGCAAATGTGCTACCACAACTACACTCGGCACCCGGGGTGTGGTCACCTCGGCGAATCCCATACCCAACCCTGGACACTCTGTCACACGGCCGAACAGCGACTTTCAAACCTGCGAGGACCTGTTTCCCCTCCTCTAACCTCTCCTCTTTTAATATCATCATCGTCCATGCCGCCACCAAAACGCCACACCCGGATCTTCTCGCTTTCCAAAATCACCAGAGCAACATCTACTATAACCACAAAATCAACCCGCCGCGCAGTATCAGACTCCACATCCTACCCGCGGACGTCTACCTCGTCATCTTCGTCCAACTCCCCTGCCCTATCCCCACTCACAGACCACGAACTCGAATTCGCACGCTGCAAAGCCCCAACGCGGCGGACCCAGATCGCGAGCGGTATGCCCATGGACGTGTGTAAGGAATGCCGGAAGTCGATTCAAGATATGCGCAATATGCTTGAAAGGTATGAGAAAACGGGGAGTGTGTTGGGGACGACGGCTTTTGAGCGGTTTTTGAAGGGGGGTGGGGAGGATGTGGGTGAGGTGCAATTGGGCGTATTGGGGGTATTGGGAGGAGGGGGAGGGTATGGGAGTTATGATGGAGGTGGGGATAGGAGGAGCGAGCAGGAGTGGTATGGTGGGGGACTGTAGTGTTGAGGTGCAGGTCGAAGTGTTGCCGTTGGCTCTTCATTGCCGTATATTGGGGTAATTCCTTAGTGTGTATGTACCCGTCTTTGCGCATTTAGATACCATTTAGATAAATAATACACTCGATGTTCTCAAAAAGTCTTTTGTCGAGAAGTTGTGGATACGGTCTCATATATCGAATTCTCGACAATTTCAGCATGCTGGAACTCACTTCAAGAATCCAAAGGAAAGTACCAAGTGGAACCCCAGCAGATCACGCATTTTCCACGGTTCCGTCTGCCCAGCACGCACCTACAGCGCACTTTCCCACCCAACTCTCTCACTCCAAAGTCACTCGCCAATGGCTCCTCCCCGTCTTATTCCCCCACTCTAGATCACGTCATATCACCAACCATACCCTAAAGCCGATACCACGAACATGACGTGAACGAGAACCGGGGCTTTGGAAATATACATGTAATTTTCAATACAAGAGATAGACTGTGACTCCCAAAGGGAGAGTCTTGAATGAATGAAAGATCATTCATTCTTCCCAATTGCCTCAATCCTTCGCTTAGCCCGGGATCGCGCCTGCACATAGGTCAAACAGTTCAACGAGAATCCTGACATCACCATATCACCGACACCCACGCTCGGCGCCACATCCGTCCAGACTTCTAACCACCGCCGCACAAACTTACCTAACTCACTCCAACCCCAGTCCCACAACCATGTGCACAGAATACCACTGGCGCTTCCGTCGCTGTGGCCACACACGCTTCTTCTCATGGCAATACTGCTCGGATCTGCACAAAGGCGAACGAAGTCCTGAAGCGGGACGTTCGTGTCTTGGATATCAGTTGCAGTATAAAGACAACCAGGAGGCGTATAACTGCTACCAGTGCATGCATGCTCGGACACGGCGCACGGGAGGAGAGGGGGAGGGAGGGTGTAATACCGGGTGTTGTCGGCTTGTTCGCCGGGTGAAGAGCTGTTTTGGGGACTGACGAGGCCATGATTGGAATTGGGTTTGCGTTTGCGCTGGGGCACGTGCGACTTTATTTACTCGCAAATCCGGATTTCAGATCCCCTCCTCTACTTCTGGCTCTGGCTCCGGCTCTGGCTCAACAGGATCAAAAAGTTTACTCTCAAACCTCTTCCTCAACTTCTCATACTTCTTCACATCCCCCACACTCGGCCGAATATGCCTCGCCGCAACTACAAAATCAACTTCCTCAACAACATCGCTCTGGCGCCTCAATGCATGCTGACCCGCCTTCGTCAACAAACTCTGCAAATCCGCGCCACTAAAATTCGTACACGCATCCCGTGCGATCTCTGCCAGCGCCAAGTTCGTAATCGGGGTTTTTGTAATCAGCGCGCGAAGGATGCTGACGCGTTCATCTGGTTTTGGTAACTCGACGTAGAGTAGTGTCTCTAGACGACCAGGGCGGAGCATGGCTTCGTCGATCATCTCGGGGCGGTTGGTGGCGGCGATGAGATAGATACCTTCGCGAGTGGAAAGGCCGTCGAGTTCGGTAAGGAGTGTGTTTACGACCCGGGATGAGGACTCGGAGAGTTCGGTAGAGCGGCGTGGAACTAGGGCATCGAGTTCGTCGAAGAAGATTACGCAGGGGATGGAGGAGCGGGCGCGCGTGAAGACTTGGCGGACTGCGCGTTCGGATTCGCCGACATACTGGTGGTACATTGTTAGTGAGAGGTGCGTTTGGGAGGGTTCTTTCTTACCTTGTTGAGCAGTTCTGGGCCTTTGACGCTGATGAAGTTGGCTTTGGATTCTGCTGCTACGGCCTTTGCGAGTAATGTCTTCCCACAACCTGGTGGGCCCCAAAGAAGGACACCTGTAGGTGCAGATATACCGACTTTCTTGTATCTTTGAGGGTTTTTGATTGGTTCGACAATTGCCATCTTTAATTCTTCGCGGACGGATTCAAGAGCCCCAACGTCCCTCCACGTCGTATCAGGCACCGTGGCAAAGCCTTCTCGTTTCGATGACGGCGTTATGGTTGGCAATACGGCTTCAAAGGCCTGCATCGTGATGACTGTATCTTCGAACCCTGCCGGTCTAGTCATGTCTTTGTTCCGGACTCGTTTGATGAGCCGCACAATGGATCGATCCATATCTGATAGCTTGGTTGAATCCAGCCCCTCATCGATATCCATCTCTGTCTCCGTCTCTGTCTCTGCAGCCTGCTTCTCCAGCGCTATGCGATATTGATCCATAGACCACGTCCCCGCTTTACTGACTAGATCTCGCAAATCTGCGCCGACAAAACCTGCGGTCTGTTTTGCGAGTGTTGTAAAATTTACGTCATCGGCCAGGTCCGGCCCTCGGGTAAGGGCGCGAAGGATGAGCTCTCTCATCTGTTCATTCGGTACGCCCATGTTGATTTCTGTGTCGAAACGACCACCTCTGCGAAGGGCCGGATCCAGGCTGTCAGGGCGGTTCGTAGCTGCAAGAACGATCACAGGCTTTCCATCGTTTGCTTCCATTGCGAGGCCGTCCATTGAAATCAATAGTTGGGCGACGATTCGCTTTTCCATCTGACTTTGCGCACTATCGCGTTTCGGTGCAATCACGTCGATCTCATCGATGAAGATTAAACACGGTGCAACCTCTTTCGCCTTCTCGAAATGCTCTCGAATCTGCTTCTCCGATTCTCCAGACATGCCGGATACAACAGACGGGCCAAGAATCTCGATGAACGGGACCCCAAGCTCTGCAGCAAAAGCCCTGCAAATGACTGTCTTACCGCATCCGGGAGGGCCATGGAGAAGAATGCCTCGGGGGATAGGAATCTTTCTTTTGACGTATTCGTCCGGACAGAGGAGAGGCATAACGAGATGGTCTTTGAGCTCTGCCTTGACGTTATCGACGCCCCCGACATCTTTCAGACTGATGTGGTTTGGCGGAGCGGTGTCGATTTTGGATTGCGCTTCTCTGACATCTCGTCTCTGTTTCTTGCTTTCTCGCTCCCCATTCACCTTTGGCCCGTCTCTCTTTTTCGTCTTATCTCCATTCGCGACTGGCGTTGCTGTTCCCGATGATACCGCCCAAGAGTTAACGATTTGCTTGTTCATGATGTCGACAGGCTCCTTCGGCTTTTTTGCTTCCTGACTATTCCCGAAGTCACCATCAATAGGTCCCATCTCATCCTCCCCGCTTTCGTCTTCCTGAATCACTGCCAGAACTCGTTCGATGCTGTCTTCAAGCACTTTCTTCGGCCTTCTCTTCAAGCTCGAGTTCGAATTCTTAATCCAGTCGTACACCGTATACGGCTTTACCTTCAGCGAGGACTCATTCCTATCATCGAGGAACTTCCTCACAACCTGATATACCTCGCGATCAAGGCCCTGCTGAAGGGACGGGCGACCACGTGAGGCCATCTGCATTCCCAAAACCAGTCTCAACCGAGTGAATGTAGAGGAAGCGTAAACCATACGTAAAATTGCGACGACTTTCGCTTGATAAATTTCAACGCAGCGCCAAGAGTCTTATCGATACAATCCCTGCCCATGCGCACGTTAGCGTGCCTCATCGTCTCGGCGCGGAACTGCAATCAAGGCACGCCCGCTGTGACGACCTCATGGCGCCGCACACGACACCAACATGGGGAGTTCCAGCAGTGCGAATAGGATTTCTGCGCAGGATAAGCATGTCTTCGCTCATCCGCCTCTATACTTCCTACATTGCTAACGCACTAGGCTTTAGAGCTATCCTAGACATGAAGAACCAGCGAGACAAGCTGCGCCAATACCAAAAACGCATCACGGTGATAACAACACGCGAAACCGCCATCGCAAAAGAGTGCCTTCGCCGCGGGGACGAGAAGTCGGCCAAGCTTGCCCTGCGGCGGAAGAAGTACCAAGAGTCACTACTCTCTAAGACGGATGCGCAGTTGGCCCAACTAGAGATCCTGACGAGCGACGTCGAGTTTGCGCTCGTGCAGAAGGATGTCTTGTTCGGACTGCAGCAGGGTACAGCGGTGCTGAAGGAGATTCACAGGGAGATGGGTGGGGTTGAGAATGTGGAGAAGCTGTTGGGGGAGAGCGAGGAGGCGAGGGCTTATCAGCAGGTGAGGGGGGATGAGCATTTCCAAAGCCCTTCTTGGATGGATAGTGCGGATATGAGGGTATGCTGACAATGGCGGATAGGAAATAAGCGAGCTGCTTGCGAACAAAATGTCCAACCAGGACGAGGACGAAGTTGAAGAAGAGCTCGAGGCCCTCGAACAAGAAGTCTCGGGTATAAAGCTACCCGACGCACCGACGAAACAGATCGAACTTAGCGAGGAGGATAAGGCGAGGGTGCGGAGAGAAAGGGCGCAACGAAGAGCGAAGGAGCGTGAAGAGGGGCAGCAGGCGCCGGAGCCTATGCTAGCATAACATTTCATTTGGGTGTGTATGGTGGGTTGTGGATATATGCATTAGAACAAGGCGTTTAGTTCAGACCCTGCTCTGGTATTAGATACAGAGCGGCAGCATATTCTTTTAGTGGGCTTGGTGTTATGCACTGGTAGACTCTTGGGATTACACGCAGAATATTACTGAATTCAATACAGCATGCCCATGAATAGCCGGAGAACAAAGACGAAGAAGATTTAATCTAACAAACGTCATAATTAAGGAAACGGTAAATGGGTTCAAGCTTCTCTCCCAAATCTACCCAAGCCCTAACATATTCCACGGGACGCGCGCAGTTTGCCTAGCGTCCACGTGCTCACGACATAGGTCCTGATGCAAGTCTCACGATTCAGCATCGTTTGTCTCGAAGGTTGTGTCCCTTCCTTCCTTCTCCCTCACCGCAACTTACCACAATAAGAGCTCACATACGTAATCCTGTTTTATCCGCCCCCCTCCCTTTTAGCATTTCGCCCTCAATAGCCCAGTCTTCGTGTTAACGAAGCTCCTCAAGCTCCTGAAGCTACCCCGCTACCCCGCCAAACCCACACCTCTTCCAAGAACCCCGGCACCGCGCGAGCGTGACCTTATTGAGGTTCGAGGAGAGGCAAGACTCTCAGGTATTCGAGCAAGAGCCTTCTATAGGACAAAATCTGATTTTCCGTCTCCTATAGACCAGAAAATATCCTTGATTCTCTCAGTACTTTACCCGGGCAGCCATAGGCGTCGGGGGAAAATATCACCACCTTCCTTCCACTCGCAAATACACTATAACCCGCAGCCATGTCCGACCACCACCACCCTCACAATCACGACGAAGAGCACGCCGAAGCCCATAACCACGCCCACGACCACGACCACGACCACGACCATACCGACGACCTGACCCCCGCGCTCCAAAACCTTCTCTACGAACAAGTGGATTTTAGCAAACTACACACACTCAACGAAGAAGAATCAAACTCCGGACGCGCCATATGCCAGAAGACGTGGGCCCAACGAATGGATGCAGAGCCGGAATTGAGGAGTTCGGCGGATGAGCAGTTGTTGATGATTGTGCCGTAAGCTTCCCCTTCTCTATCCCCTGATGAAGAAGAGGAGGAGAAAAAAGATGATGAAGAAGTAAGCATGTACATGGATGCTAAGACGACTCCTCCAGCTTCACAGGCCAAGTCCGCCTCCACAGTATCCTCATCCGCACCTCCCCTTCCCCATCCTCCCCACTAACCCTAAAGCTCTTCGTCAACCCTCCTTCCTCCACCCTCGACTTCGAAACCGCCACCGACCTCGCCCCCACCCAAACTGTCACCATCTCGCAAACCTCTGCCGTCCAGGAAATCCCCGTGAAGCGCGCCTTCTTTAATACCACACGTTGCTTGGCGCTGTTCTTTGAGGATAATTGGAGCGCGGGGGAGGAGGAGGTTACCAGAATTAGTTACTTGGCGTTTAAGGGCGATTTTATGAAGTTGAGTAAGGAGCCGGTGAGCTTTTTGTATGAGGCTGCGGCGAATCCGAGGGATCATAGAATGGTTGTGGGGACGGATTTGGGGGTCGGGCGGCAAATACAGTGAGGAGTGCTTGGGGTTGTAGAATTGGGGAGAGATAGGAAGGTGTGATGGGCAATATGGTGTTTGGTATCCCATTTCAAGGGGCTTGCTTGCGTACGGTAATGGGTTTAGAAAGATAGGAAAATGGGATGGTGGCATGCGTGCGTGCATCTCTCATGGAGTGTATGTAAAATCGGCCTATTGCACAAAAGCGTGTACTCTTGGCGACTGCAGATTAGAAGCTATCATATTTGGAGATATAGAATACAAGATGAATTAGTCAATCACAAGGCAGAGGGGCGTTGATCGATAGAAAAACGAAGGGGGGAGCATCAGCAACTCCATCCTACTGGTTACTACTGCCCCTAATATAGGGTCACATGTCTTTCTACCTCATGCTCATGTAAAGTGTGTATAAATATTCCCATACTCCAGTATTCCTTTCGCTTACGTCAATAAAGTTGGGCCTAGGATGTAGAATAAGTGAAATATAACATACTTCAGAATTGTGGCGTCCAGCCAAGGGTATCATTCACAGCTGCCTCTGTTCCGTTCTGTTGGCAGTATAGGGGGTTTATGAGGAGCTCATCCTCCCTTTTCATCTCCGGCCAGAAAGAATTCTTTGGCTGGTTCTTGTGGTAGACGGTTAGATATGCCGCCTTAACCCCATTGCCATGCCCCCCGAAAGAATCCATCACGCATTACCCGCCGTATACCGCCCATGCACTGAATCCCAGCCACTCACTCAACCCACCCTCACGTATGATACGTCCCACCAATAGCATCTCCATGCACCTTGGTCCAGTCGATCTGAGCATCCAATTCTTCATCCACCCTCCCAACCACGCAAACCGTATCACCACGCACGATATACACTCCGATAGGAACCTCGGAGCTCTCTTCCCCACCCGGTCGAATCACGCGCTCCACCGTATCTTGGAGTACGAGGTTCATGCTGCCGTCGCATGCGACTAGCTTGCCGATGAGGATGCGGCCGTCATTTGTGAGGACAGAGACTTTTTCTACGAGGGGGGATGGTTAGTGGGGTAGGGAAGGGAGTTGTAGTGTAGGAAAGCTCTCTAGGCATATTCGTGCCGCGATTTGAGGAATGGGATAGAGTGAGGGAAAGAGAGGGAAAGAGAGGTGGGACAAAATTGAGGACACAGGGTTCTTACTCTCCAGGAGGATATTCATGTGCACCATTTTGCCAGGCTTGTTTCTCTCGAGTGCCGGTCCTCGAGAGCTCTCCCGTATTGTACCTGGTGTCGTTCGCTAATTTGCGGTGGAAGGAGCGGGCTCGATTGTCAGGTCGAGCGGAGAGAGTTTGCGGGAGGTGGGTACTAGGCGGGACTCTTTGAGCGAATAGCGGGGGGGTAGAGTGGTGTGGGAAAGAGCGACGGGTTAGGGATGAAGAAGGCAAGTTGAATGAAGGGCTCTTGGCAAATATTTAGAGCTTGGGGCTGGCGGTCCGTGCGCTCGGCCCTACTATTGAAATGGCCTTGTTCCGGTCGCTCCCTCTTCGTTTTGATGTTGGCGCCTTCAACTGTTCGTCAGAGGAATTGCACCCAGGCCCCTAGCTGTGTCCGTGGAAGAGATAGCAGGCAGCCGCACGTCTCCACAGTTTGGCCAGCTGTCCGCTGTTTAGAAATGAGACCACCACACGCCGATTCGGGATCCTCAGAGCCCATCTTGCAGATCTTAACACCTGAGCTAAGAGTCTTCAGAACACAAATATTAGGGCTAGTGCTATTCCACGTTATTCTCAGAGCTATTATATCAAAGAAACTACTATAGATGTCTTTGAGACAAATTAACTGATAGGCAGGTCGTCTGAAGGTCATCTAACTAGCACTAAAACAATTCAGAGATTTGACTACTCTATCAAATCAACTAGAATAAGTGAGAATCCCTTAATTGAATGGTAAGAGGGCCTGGCGTGTAGTCGAGATTGAGCCCTACTCTCTAGAATCTGGTGCGTTGTAGCTCTTCCTACACCCTCTTGAATACTTTCTACGTATTTCAGATACTTGAATTAGTCTCAGTGCGGCTACTTTACTCTCTTTCTCTGTAAAGTCCGCCAAAATCGACTCAATGGGAATACAAAGATCAACGCTTCCTTCCCTTTCTCCACCGGTTTTCACAACCCGCCCACACCCAACCTGCCGCCAAGACAAGCTCCACACGAATCTAAGGGCGACCTACGCTATTCCAGTTGAGGTGGCCGTAGCCGTCACAAAAGTCTGGGTTGCTGTCGCTGCACCGCCGTAAATCGTTGGACCAGGAATATCATACACAAACGGCGTCGCTTTCAAGAGCTGAGAAATAACCATCACATCCTTGCTCTGGTACAACTCTGTTCCGAGCACACCTGCCGGCTCTGCCGTCCCCCGTCCTACAACCCTAAGATTGATGCACGATGGATAGAACTGCGGAGTCTGATTCTGCAGCCCGATAATCTCATGCCTCACAACATAATTTCCCGGCGCAATGTCCTCGGGGATAACAGTTGTCCAGGAATCATCCCACTGGTGGACAATGCCTGCACCCCATGACTCCATGTCGAAATAGCTTTTATTCGTCGGTGGATTGTAGCCTGCATGATCGATCTTGAAGAACCTCAGCGTTGTCTTGTCCACGGTTGTGCACGCGCCGTGGCAGTTCGCCAGATACGTTAGCACGGGACCTTGGTGGCCGACTTGCGTCCAGCGGAATGTCAATGGTTTCCCGGCTTGCGCTGGAATGTACATTTTCCCATTCGTGCTGTTTACGCCGCAGATGATGTCGGGGTTTTGGGTCTGCGTGGCGGTTTCTGCGGCGGTGTAGGTGTAGTCCATTGGGAAGATGACTTGGTGCTGATATGGGAATGGTCGGTGAGGCTGCCATTGCGGCGTAATTGGGGTGTAGTTTTCAGACCAGTCCGAAAGGTTGTAGCCTACGTAACTACGGGATTTTGATTTTAGATTTTGGGATGGAAATGATGGAGGGTACTTACTTGACCTGGTTAGAAACCACGTCAGTAACCATAAAGTGGCCTTGGACTGCTAATGCCCAGATAAGAACAGCAAGCGCGGTGCGGATGTGGGAAGTCATAGTGAATATAGCTAGTTTTCTCGCAGAACTTGAATCGGAATATGCAACAAGAAGTTTTGGTGCTAACACTGAGGGAAGCAAATCAGCACGTCTTAATACTTTAAACTCAACTTGCGTAGAGTGTCTTGGGTGTCGGTTACACACTCATGTGCATATATAGACTTCTTAACCCCATGTATCTCTATGAGGGTCCATGCATCTCCTTGTTGTTCATATACACTCACCCCTCCTTGTCATCGATTTGAGCTTCCTGCTAAAGTGCCCTCACACCATTGCAAGGCTGCCTCGCAGGTGTTACCTATTAGAGGAATCTATCCATGGGTTGTAATAGGTTGTTGCCCGGTTCTCTATACTGCTGGAGATATTCGTTAATTTCCCGGAGCGCGAAGGATCCTACGATGATTAGCCAGAACAATATAACGCCCGATCGGAGGCAGATTCTCACAGCCTGTACATATCAGAATCTTGTTGCATCACGCCGCTCGCATGAAACCTTATAGGCGCATACCTGCAGTGTGGCTGTGGCGAGCCCTCGCGAGCCACGTCGTCGGGTGGGGAAGTTTGTGTACACATTTTAGGCAGCTTACTTACCTTCTCACCTTCCTTCCTTCTCATGAAATAAATAAAGACTAAATGCAGGCCATGTCGTATTTTGAGCCAGGAACCATCCTCTGGCTACCAAAACGACGAGATATTTTATGCAGCTACCTTGAATCCACCAACACTGTACCAAACCGCTGCTTCGGCCACCCCGTTCTTGTACTTGGTGTGAACTCTTCAAACAATTCCGTTTATATTTTAATCGTAAGATTGACCTTCCAGCGAACTATGCGATGCTCACATAGCATGAGATCACTTCTTTTGCGTGCTCGAACGACATTGCCGAAATACGCACCAAAGTATTCCGCCGAGGCCATGATCTAGACGACTATCTACCCATCCACCCTGCCGCTCGTTTTACCCACAGCGTCCCTACGCTGCACCTTTTTCCATCCCAGGAATTGGCTCGGAATAATTGGGTGCACGTCAGAGAACCATATCGCTGCCCCAAGGCTTGGGTAGAACAAACATGGGATGAGAACTGGGTCAGACCACATCTAAGTCGGAGGATCGAGACCAGTTCCGTACATGCACTGGCCCGGTATGCCATCTCACAGGGATACAAGGCGCGGGTTTACAAAAAGCTGTTGGAGAAGCATGCGTCCCCAGTCGAAGCTCGCTCGAGAGGCGGGGGCCCGGTCCACATTTCCATTCCTGACAACCTACAAGTTGGGGGATTTACTCCCAGCTCGATCTATCCCCCGCCCATAATACCACACAATTCCAGTTCTCGGATCACCGCTGGTCAGTCTACACACATCTTTAGCAGCTCTTACTCTTCGCATCCTCGCATCGCCCAAGACTATGGAACAGTCGAAACGCCACGAAGGAGGCCAGGCGGAGAGCAGATTCGCCCCTGTTTCGCGGTTTTCTTAACATTCTTATTTGCTGCTTTGATATTATTAATTGCGTATGCCGCGTATCTTTCAACGTTGGGCTCATAATGGTGTGCAAAGATACAGTTCGGCCACCCGTGAGTGCTCTGTTGGGAAATTTCTTAGTTTAGATTCAAGTGGTGTTGAATGAGGTTTGAACATGTTCTAAGCTGCTATTACTTCATATTGGACCAGCAAGATATTGCTAGTCTACCTTTCCGGGGCTTGTTTCCATTCAATCAATGGGTCTACTTAAGCGGCTTTCATAGTAGCATGTTTTGGCTGCCCATGGCTGTGAGAGGCTCTCGCAATACGGATTTTAAAATATTAAATCCTCTGCTTCAAAGATCCTTTGAAATATATGGCGTTTAGGTTGCGATCTAAGCAAGGGAAAAGAGAACGGGGCTCTGGGTTATGGATAGTTGTTCTGCACAGTATGTAGAGAACAGGAAGCGCGTTCCTCTTTATTAAATGGACTATAGAAGGCTTAAATTCATGTCTTAGAGAGGGACAAGACGCTCAGGGGTTGATACGGCTTGGCTAAATTGTGTAAAATGAATTTTGTAGATTGAGAAAATACTCTACATGCAGTTAGTGAGACGAAAATGCATGGATGAACTGCGTGCCGTGGAATCAGAGCCAATGTAAAAATGAAGGAGCATTTCTTCTTAACTAACTTGCCGAAGAAGCGGTCGACTTGAAGTAGCTGTCCCAGAAGCGTGGTGTACCCACTTTTTGCGGCTAGATAATGTCGTAGTAGTATGGAGTGGACGAGGAGCGCAATATTCTCTGTAGCATATGCTTCAGAAGGCTCATCTGCATGAGACCTGGAGATAGACCGGATGCTAGGAGATTCAAGACTCCACCCACAGAGGAAACTTTGCGCTTTTCCGCAGTTACTGGGAGTAATAACGTTAAACATTCATTCTCCATTACTTAGTAATAGCTCTAGGGCACTGGTCTCATAGTTTATTACTATGGATCAAGAACTCGATTGGATTTCAAGGAACAGCCCTGCGCAGCATGCACCTTAATTCTCAACACCCTCCGCAAACCATTTAAACAGCGTAACAAATCTGCGCGATGGACCATTCACAACGACCTAACAGGGCTCGCGCAGCCCCAAACAACATCCCTTGAAGCCGATCATTTTCCGAAACCCAGCACGTCGTCTCCATGCTCTGCTCAAGCCGAGTACCAACCGAGGACCCCACTAGTCCTAACTATGTCTACTAGCGCCCACTCGGTCGATCCATCGCATTCGCTGTTTACATAAATGATAGCCGGAATATCTACCATGTTGATAAGAGGTTCAATGGAGGGAGGAAGTTGATTCCATATGCGAAGCATCGCCCTGGAAATCGAGATTCGAGAATTCAGGCATATCTCGATTCAGCTGCGAGGAATGAAGGCGAGAATAAGAGGGTTAAAGTTTGGCAGAATTGGTCAGATCTAGCAGAATTTTTGGCGATGTATCCGCCCGAGGAGACGGAACATGAGGTGGTTAGGTTATATTGGAGCAAGGGTTTGTCGTGATTTTGAGCAGGATAGATCAAACCTCTACTATGAAATTGCCCTTGTCATTTCCGCATTAAGAAATAAGATGCAACATGACAAATAATTACTTAATGATTTTCTTCTCCCTGAACCTGCATCACCTATTTTGTATACCACCCTGTTGACATTCTGTGTGATTCCCGCGAGTAGTTTAGGTAGCAAAATCTTCCATAGCCGCGTCGCGTGGAGGCTTGAGAACGCCATGAATTTAAAGGATGAATTTATCACATTTCTAGGCTCCATTGTAGGACGGTGGATGCTGGCTTTCCAGCAAAGTCCTCATCTCAGCTTATTATGGGTTTGAGTGTTCATAACGTCCATGATTAGGGTCTACTGCGTGAGGAAGGGGAGCATAGTGGAACTCGATCGTACTTATGTTTCAAAGGCAAGGCGATATGACGATAGCATGTGGTATATTTCACGCTAAATTTGTATCTAACCCACGGCCCTTTTTCCCTTGGCCTTTTAGAAGGACAAAGTAATTCCGAAATAAGTAACACGTCGATACCTAGGAGGCTACGAAAGACTGTGAGCCAATTGCGGGGAGACACTCGGGAAACCTTGAGATACTCAGCAATGTGCTCACACTTTGAGTGTAATGTTCTTCTTTTGTGAGAGTGAACGGTAAGACAGCTTTCTGCTTATCGAGGCGAGAGGGTATCAAGAAAAATGAATATGAAAAAGATGTGCGGTATTAAAAACACCAAATGAGACTAGCGCCTTTGGTCAAAGCGCTCACCCCGCGGCAACCTTCGCATTCACTCTTCGTCCCCTCGTCAACCTTCGATAGCGCCTTGTTAGTTAATCACTTTAATTACTTTGATTGCAACATAAAGGTCGTACTATTGATGCAGTATATAGACATATGCGCTTTCTACTTAATGCCGTGTCCTGCAGGGGAGCTAACACCCATGGATGCAGGGTTTTCTCTGTCAACATCACGCAAATGAAGACGTTTCGTTCTTCTGAAGCCTGCGCACCACTTCCCGCCTCTAAAACTCCAAGCCACTAGGTAGGGGCTAGCTTCAGTTTTATACGCACTTAATGCTCGAAGCCCTTCCGGGATACCTGGATAGCAATGTTCAGAGCATGTCTTTGTACAATACTATCTTGAGCGTGGCAAGTAAACTCTCTTTCCAATTGCCCCTTTTACCCTTTAGCTATGATTATTGCATCTTCAACCCTTTGAAACTCTTATGAAAATAGTTATGCGTGGAAACTGTCTGAGCTTGTTCATCTCGAATATTGTGCATTTCGATTTATTAACTAGTTACCTCTGACTAACAACTCCATATCAGGCAGTCGAACCCCTCCACCGAAAAGACGCGAACTACTACGCTATGCCCCTCTCTCGTTATATATTAGCTCGTTAGTCGCTAGCGGCAGGATAGTGACCAGCGCATATGGTTCCTGGAAGCACGGTCTACGGAATTCTAAGGTGGCTATCGTTTCAAAAGTGGAGTAAGAAAAACTACGTGGCGCAGCATCTCGGGGCACCAGCATTAAGTGTAATATCATGCAAAGCGCTACCATTCGGACCACCATTCAGACCATCACACCTTGAGTGATTATGGTTCACACCGTGATTGCATCATTACTACTCTGGTCACGACGAGTTCGGAGGCGCTAGGAAATAATTTAGGGGCGACAGAGAAGGCTGTGGAGGAGGTTTCTGATTTAAAAGTCAGGCGCTTGTCATGATAAAGCGCAGCAACAACGCACAGCCTTTGTGCCATGGTTGATTTTCTGCTCAGCATTCTACGAAATCTCCCGAATTAACGGAGTCTAAAAATGTGCAGTGCACTTACACCTCTCTCGATTACTCGAACCACCACGTGGGCAGGCAGACATCCAGGCAAATTGAAGCACATGATAGTTCCGAACAAAGCCCTGGGTTGGAGCTGTCGTATTGCCAACACGAAATGGACATGCAACAACCACTCAGCCACACGCTAGTCCACACATTCCACACACCGGTGACGCACATCCAAAAGCTGCAGGGATCGACCTCCTGTTTTTGATACATTCTACGCGAGGCTCACTCCTCACGAAATAACCGCATTCCATCAAAAGTGTAGCATCAGATCGTAAACGATGCCGCAGTGCAGTCGAAGAGCACGGATTTGAATTGTGAGGCTGACGTGGTGGCTGTGGAGTAAGCGCCGCCAACTGCATATATACTACTTTGGCAAGCGTCAGTAGCAACGCACCTCGCCCACACAACAAAACACAATTCCAATACTGCGTGCGAACTACAGAAGCAAGCACTGCGCCAGGTTCTCGCCCACCTACACCATGGGCTCAAAGGTACGGCCCTATCCTCCGCCCCCTGCTATACCACCCTTGCACTCATATGACTGACTGACCACCAGAGCTCCAAAATAAAGAGAGAGCAGAAGAAGGAGCAAAAGAAGGGAGAGCTAAAACGTGGCCAAGCCGCATACTACAAACCACGTGTGCCCTCGCAATCTTCCGCCCCATATCACAAAAAGAAGGAGACAACACATGCCGGCGGGACGCATTCAAGTGGACATCAGGGAAGCTCGGATACGGGTGCGATGACTGGGGCGTATTTTGGGGCTATGAGTGGAGAAGATACTGGCGGGTATTCGGGAGGCGATGGAGGGCATTCAGGAGGTGATGGGGGAGGGTATTCAGGAGGTGATGGGGGAGGGTATTCGGGAGGTGGGGGTGGTGATGGAGGGGGTGGAGGCGGAGGCGGCGGAGATTAAGAGTCTTAATGTGTGTATTTATGTGTGTTCATGCCGAACAAAGCAGCTGGAAACGGAGGTCGGCTCTAAGGATATGCTATAAGGGTATAATGAGGATGTAGTGGTGGGTATAATGGGAGGCGGATTTGAAAGTATTATTGTAACGACTATAGGTTGTTAGCACGTAACAACAAGCAAGCTGACAATCAAACTGTATTATAGAACAAATTGCGTTTTTATCCTCATTGCCTTCTAAGTAAATCAAGCACGTTACATAGCTTAGGACCGTTTCATAGTTAGAAGAGCCTAGCAAGCGATGAGCTACGCTAAACAGATGGCCTTAATCTTCATTTTTTTTAGCCTACGCAATCCACCTCTGTTCGCTTGTCCCTACCATCTTCTTATTCAGGCGACGGTAATACATCATCAATCCAAAGCTCAGAACCCCGCTCATCAGAATGAACGCGGCGTTAACCGCATGACCTAGACGGTAAAATGGCTTGTCCTGCGAGCGATAGATCCAAACTCCAATGATCTGTCCCGGCCCCGAAAAAGCGATGTTGAGTGCGGTGGAAAGCGAGCCAGCGGTTGAAGTGCGCACATTATCGCCGACCCAGGCGCAGAGCGAAGGCAGGCCACCGAAGACCCCTGATGTTGCGATGATGAGGAAGACATATCGAACAGTATACGCAGTACCAGGAAGTGCGGCCTGAATAAGGAATGCAACTCCTGCTATAACGCACGATATGCCGGCGACAAAGCCTCGGGATTTGTAGTGATCGGAGATCATGGCAGTGATGAAGGTGACGACGTATGCTACAGCATAAGGGGGGACGGTGAAAAGTTGGGCTTGAAGGTCTTTGTAACCAAGACCCGCGACGATGGTTGGAGAGAAGAGAGACAGTGATGCCACGGTAACACCAGCTCCCATGTAAATGAGATAGTGCACATAAAGTCTCCAGGTTGTGAGACAATCTTTGATCTCTGCCCAGTTGAGCTTCTTTTCTTCGCTAAAGGGGGTCAGAGGATAAGATTAGGAGGCGGAGGAGGAGGAGGAGGAGGAGGAAAGAGATTCAAACCTTTGCCCAGCGTTGATACCAAGACGATCTCTTTGTAGCCGTTTCTCTTCCGGTGTCAACCATGAGGCTTGTTCAGGATAGCTTGGCAGGAAGAAGAACACAAATATCCCCACGACCGCTGCTCCAAATTAGCGAGTATCATACAACAGGGCGGTAGACAATTGGAACCGCTTACCTGTAAGACATCCTTCAAGAATGAACAGCCACCGCCATCCCTCCAACCCGCCAGCACCATTCATATGCCCCACGCTATATGCCAGTGCTCCGCCAAAAGCTCCAGCGAGGGTCGCGCTACATAAGAAAGCGGCAATACGAGTCGCTCGCTCTTCTTGTTTATACCACAGACTAAAGTAGAATATCAATCCCGGAAATGATCCGGCCTCGGCTGCACCAAGAAAGAATCGTAAGGCTGTAACTCCTGCAAAGTTGTGGGTTCCGGCAATACCAGCACATAGTGCTCCAAAAGCAATGACTAGAAAGCCGATCCATTTGTTTGGGGATATGACTTTCAGAGCCAGGTTACTAGGTGCCTCAAATATTGAATATGCGACCAGGAAGACCATGAGGGCGACTGTGAATTGGTAGTTCGTCATGTTGTTGGTTTCCACCATTGTATCCCCGGAACTGGAGTTCAGGATTTTGGCGTTTCCAATGTTCGACCTGTCTAGGTAGCAAAGCAGGTAGATGAGGGCAGTGATGGGAAGTAATCGGATGTCGATTTTGCGAACCATTCTGCACATAGTAAATCAGTCATCGGCCTGGTAATCGTGCCTGGAGACCTCGAACCTCTTTTCCACAGCTGGGTCCACCTGACTTTCCAGAGCTAGTTTGTCCTCGCTGACTTCAATCATCTCAACATCATTCTTTTCCAACATGTCGTACTGGTACTGTTATAGTTTTGCTAAGAACCGTGATAGAAAATAGGGAGTTAGTTTCGAGTGTTGTCTTCTCCAAGTGCGTAGATCTGGGTCTTAATAGCAGGCCCCAAGATGTGGGGATCTTGGGCAGTGATGGGGGTGCGGGGAGACGCTAATTGCATTTTGTTGTCCAACTCGAATCCAACAGTCTTAGAGCGATGCTTGGTCCTGGTCTGAGTGTATGAAGGTGGAGGTGTCGGGATATCGGCGGAGAGGCACCCTGTCTCCCCGACCGCCTTGGAAAATGAAAACCGAAGTTTGGAAAGTCGTGACTTCCCCCACAACGACCTTGGGACACGTAAGTGTCTCCACACCGAGATCCTGATCTTCCAAATATTACCTTACTTGGTGATAGATCTAAGAGGTTACTAAGCCTTACTATATTAGGCCTAGATGACTCTGCAATCGCTTATCAGGCGTTTCAGTGGCTCATTAGCCCGAACTGCGGCTGGTGGTCGCGAACATATTTTTCTGCCCCCTCCTCGTCTACTTTCAACTCGCGATTCTTTCCAGTCCTTATTTGATCGGGTGTCGAGACGAAAAATGGGATCTGTACCCGGCTGTGGAGGGCCGCCAAAAGTCCAGGCAAATGTCGCCAACCTTTTCCAGGATATTGAGAGCGCGGTTGAGTCGACAAGTTTAGGAAAGGAGAAATGGTACATCTTAACAATTGCGGCGCTCGTCGGAGGTACTGAGCCTGAATTGGCAGACCAACTGTACCTGTATATCATCAACAAACCCGAGTATGCCACAACCAGTCACCGACATTACTTGATCCGTCGATTACGAGAGGCGCTAGTTAAGCTCGTCTCTATCGTTGGAGTATGCAAACCCCTTGAGGCAATTATCGCCATTATGAAAGTGGAAAAGGAAGAAGACAGGGACTATACCTTCACCCGGGAGAACTGGCAATGCGATCAAGAGAACCATGACCGGGGGATGGAGTGGATGCGCCAGATTTACGCCCACAATATCGAACCTACGCTTGATCTCTTCAAAGCACACCAGGACTTCAGGTGGATATCAACCGAAATCACGTACGGCCTTTACTTATCAGACCGCAAAATACTCGACGACTTAGATACAGAGCTCGTGGTGCTCGTAGGAATCATGGTTCAGAACCTGAGGCTAGAGACGCATTGGCATATTCGAGGGACTAGAAGGATCGGCGTGTCTAAGGGCGACGTGGAGATTATTGTCGCATGTGTTCATAAAGTTGCGAACTTCATGGGGACTTCCCTGAATAGGATACCAACTGTAGAAGAGGTTGAAAAGGATGTTTAAATTCATTCGAATACCAGTGTCCATCCCTGAGCCCTTCAGTGCTCACAAAGCCCCATTCCATCAAAGTGCATCAGCGAGGCACCAATAGAAAGTAGAACGAGCCCATCGAGATAAGTTAGAGAGGATTGCGTACGACTTTGTAGATGGCGACCATTGCGAATGTTCACTCGGGGATGACTCAGCATTCCTGTGCACGGTCCATAACGTCCCCTTTTTGGCCACTAAGTTAGGAAAAGAATCCCTGTTAATTGTCCCTCGTAGCACAATATGAGCCCTCATTTATATCCCTCTAGCTTGCAGTATCTTAGATACGGGCGAAAAATGTCGAAACTTCTCGGGGTGGTTCATTGCCGTGAACAGCGCCCCAGCCCTCTTGGAGTGAAGCATCACAAGCCCCACTAGCTCGTTGCCTTCCTCGTATCCGTCCAAGTGGGAGTGTTTGTTCATGCAGGAGAATCCCAGCTTCAATTAAAGTCAAGCCACGTGGCTGTCCGTGTGTTGACATTGGATATTCTATAGCATTCCAATAAATTGAGTTTGTGCACAGCCTCCACTGAAGCCTCGGAACCTTGTGCCTTATCCCTGTGGCGTTGTACCCCACCACCACGAATTCATGATCAATAAAATATAAAGCAGCATGACATGGCATTCTGAAACTGTAGTCTGCAATATATGTCTCTATTCTGTTGACATACTTTCTGAGTGTATTCTGTTACTGCTATACACAACAACCATGAAGTCGAGAAGAGATATTACCGCTTTCGGTGTTGGATCGATGGCTTTCCTAGCTCTCCTGCTAGCAAAAGAGGTTGGGGCGAATGGGTTTAATCGAGACGAATGCGTGCGCTATGTCCGAGACTCACTGAGCCAAGGCATTCTTGCAAAGAATGCTACCTGCTTTTTCCGTGACAACAGTGGCATGCCAATGTCAGACCCCGACTACCCGACCGTCACTCTTGCTGGATGCAACCAACTCTGTGGTTCGTCACGCGGGTGGTATAAAGATATTGGACCGCGACTCAGCACTTGGCTTATTCCAGTCGTCCTCCTTTTAAGCAACATGGAGGTATCCCCTCTGGACAAGCGCAGATACTTGATGCTGGCACATCTTGTCGGAGATCCAATCGACTCGCTTTGGTCCCTTCTACTGAAATTAGAAGCGTGGTCTCGGTGCCATAATCTTGCGAAAGCATTTCTTCGAGTAAACGATCGACGCCTTGTGCGGAATCTAGCAACAGTCCTAGGAGGGATCGAGGAGCTGGTTGGATTTCATACCAATCCGCTCTCTGTATACCGCCACCTTGTCGCTCACTCAACTCTCGACGATGAAGAACTCAGCCTTCTCATTGGCAAAACCGCCCAACGGCTTTCTGACAGTAGAACGGACGAGCGACTACGCACTCTCTTTACTACCGCACTATACTTTTACCAGCTCGTTTCTGCATTCATAGCTACTGTAGGAGGAGGAAATACTTCTCCTCCTGGCGGACGGATAGGGACTGCGATGTTCATGACTTGGGTCGTTCCGTCCATATTGTTAAGCAACGCAATCGGCACTTTTACGTCATCACGCACTTGCTTCACCATCCTGGAACGCTTCTACCAAGATTCAACTGGTCAATTCGATCTATGGGCAGAGCTGCAGCGTACCTGCCCTCAACTTAGACAATATCCAACTATCGACGACTATTTTGATTCTTTGACCTGGTCTGGTGCCATTTACACATATCGCCCAAACAAAAGACTTCCTTTTGCCACCGGAGCTAAGGACCGCAGTCCAGTTACGCTGCTGATGTTGGCAACATCACCAATTATTGTAGCTTCGGTTATTTCATCTGCCATAATCTACCACACTCCACCGATTGCATTCAGCTGTCGCAACGTACTCATCATCTCCCTCGCTGCATTCCAGCTCCTCAGCCCTCTGTTTACTTGGCTTACTTCCCGAGCTGGCATTCGAGGAGGAGCTCATTGGCATATAACCATCGTTAAAGATATTTTCATTGCTGTTCCCACCGTCCTTCTTATCTTCCTTTCCAGCTCGGGCCTCTTTAATAGCTGCTATTGTTGGAGTGGGATATGGTCTTTGCACGGAAGGGCTCATGTTCCACTGAATGTAGTTCCCTTACTGGTTTACAGCGGCCAGACAATCTATCCTATTATGGTTGGAATATGTCTGGGGCTCCAAGTTGTAGTATTTGTGGCAATGATGTGGGTTTGCTGGGATGGATGGTCTCTTATGAGGTGGAGTGAAAAGGACAAGCATGATGAATGGAACGCAACTAGGCGAATCCGATGCGGGATGTCGGAGGCTCTAAACACTTCACCTCCGCATGGACGGCAGGACAGCATCATCGAAGATAAACCACAATCAATGCCCTGAGAGTTTTCGTCAGTCCAACTTAATATACTTCAAATAACCTTCTGTTAGATCACTTGGAGTATTATTTGAAACAAAGCGCAATTAGGATACAACTACAAGCTAATTCTGGCCTCTTCATATATGGCTCTCTTAAGGCCTTGCTCACGAGGTTTGAAGGAAAGGCAGCGTCCAACAAGACCCTTCGCAGTAGGCTTTGTTTATATACAAGCTCGTACCAATATCCAATTTTTGTATATTACTTTGTCTTTTCCAGTACCTACGGGGAAGGGAATATGCAGGGGAGCAAGCCGGAACTCTGATATATACCACTTTATTTAAGATCTTCCCGGGTTACCTTAAGAGCTAATGGCCCGTTCTTTAAATACTTTACTGGATCGACAAGTAATTTCAGGACCAATCGAGAGCGAAGCATCTCGTTCGATAAACCGACGATCGTGGCGTTATTGCCTTCATTGGAGTACTCGAGAAGCAACTAAGCGGCCTCACAAATTAGCTTTAGTTCGACAATGCAACTTCAGCGCGGACTTGCACCAAACTATTCCCGAAGGTAGATTGGGGTACCGGGTGGAACTAGGCCTGAGGCGTGTAAACTCTAGATGACAAATGGGGCAAATCCACATTGAAGTTTCGGCATTGTTATGCATGTCTTAGAAGACCCCCCATGCGCTTTCGAAAGGCGCCTTTGGCAGCGTTTGCTACCCCATTACTTGAAATTACCATGGAAGCCATGGACAAGTATCTTACGGTCGGGACATTAAAGTAACTTCCCTTGAAAACTAAAGTATCATTTACTTATTTCATAATGTTCCCCCATACAGTTAAGTAGACTTCCCTATCACTCAAAATTATGCATTTGTCAAGCAGGAAGCCAAACGAAACCCCAATTTCGCTTCCTCATATTGCTAAAAAAAACGTTCTGATTCGCTCTAAATAACATGGATAGAACGCTTCTTAGGCAGCAGGTCCTGCCCCAACCCAAACCCGGTAACTAACAAAAGGCCCTTTTCTATTATCCACATTCCGATATTGCCGTCCTGGACTCAATTCCAACTGATTCGTACAAAAATACAGCCACCCATCCCAAATCGCCGCAGAATCCGCGTGCTGGATCAACGCACTTCGGACCAGCGTTTTCACCACATAATCCTCTGGCGGCACTACTCCCGCTCCTCCTGCCACTACACCATTAACCTCTTCCGTGACGTATTGCTGCAGCGTGTCGACATAAAATATCGCATTATGCTCGCTCGCGCAAACATATACTCGTCCTTTATTGTCGGCTGTAAGACCAGCCTGTTCGGTGCCGATTTGGCTGGGATACACAACACCAGCTAACACCTCCTCTTCACTAGCAGAGGCATTAACCAGTAAATTTTGCGGAATATAATACCACCTCCGACTGGCCAAAACGCCCCAATACACATTCCCGCTCTGAAGAGCAATCCCATCCGCTCCAGTTGTGAAGTACGATTTCTTCGTCCCATTCCAGGCATACACTGGATTGCCGTTGTAAATCCCAACATACTTTTGATCAGCGCGGGTTTCAGTGGTGTTGTATAATCTCCGTAGAACGATGCCAGTGTCCAGGTCGATAGTTAGCAAGGATCCGGCTGTCGATTCATCCGTAATGAAAGCAAAGCCACCAGTACCGAGAGTGTTGTTTATGCGAACGTCATTTGCATTCATTTTGTCGTAGTACGATTCCTCCGGAATGACATACGTGCGCTTCAACGCCCGTGTCTGCCAGTCGAAGCTCATGATCTTGGCGCCGTAGCGCACAGCGCTGCTTTCTCCAGCCGGGATCCCAGAATCTACGATCCAGAGTTGGTGTAGCGAATCGAGGACTACATTTTGCACGTTGATGAAACATGTGCTCGCGTTTTGGCTGGATGTGCAGTTTTGGATTTCTGCGTTGGGCCAAGGCTCTTCAGTGGAGTAGGTTGGGCAGATTACTACGTTGTTAGGTGTTGGTCCGGTGTTACGCGGGTAGGTGAGATAGATCTTGAGGTCTGGATCTATTGCGAGGCCAGTTGGTGGGGATTGGGAAGCGTGGACGGCTTGGAGTGGTGGTCCTATAACGCCGTAATCCGTTGAGGAAGCAGGAGGAAATGCGCCTGTGGCATCGGGCAATGTCTGGTAGGAAGCGCAGCTTTGGAAGTTTGTGGGACAGGATGCATTAGTTGATTGGGAATGTGCGAAAGTGAAAATTATGAGGGTGGTAGTGAGGAATTGGATTGAAGGGCGCATAATTGTCGAGTTCGGGAATGTAGGCGGACAGATGTGAGTGCAGGAAACGCGCAGCTTTGCTCCAATAGAGGCCCTACAGAGCTTGGTTGATCAAAGTTTCGTAGCTCGGTCACTTGTACCTAGCTACAATGTGTGGGGGGCTCGCGTCACCGATAATATACCATATAATCCAATTGTACGAAACTGCTAGAAAGATGAGAGAACATGCCAACCCGACAAGAAAGCAAGGCACCGTGCGATGATACACTCCGGATAAATCCCAGGTCCGGAAATATGGACGACGTCACTGAGGAGTCGTCACGTGAAACTTACCGCTTTGTGGGGAATTGCAATTTGTCCGTAATGTAGCGGGGTTCTTCCCATTTGTTCCCACAATTCAGAGGGTTGGGGATTGCGGGTTAGAGGGATATATGAGATGGGTATTGGAAAGAAATAAATAGAAAAGGATACACGAAAAGCTCGCATACATAACTCGCAAATGATTCTTTGTTGAAAGATGGTTCCAAAAGCGACCATATAATACTCTGTCCGTTCCTTTTGACATCAAAATATTCTACGGAAGCTTAGCTGAAATATGGAAGCTTTTCTCACCTACGCCTACGGTGAATGGAATAGCTAGAATGATGCAGCTTTGCATCTTAGTAACTTGATAACAGTCCGTGATATATGCCATTTTACAGTAATTTCCACGATCTTGAATCGCTCAAAGCCGCTCATTCACAAGGGTACTACAGGGTTGGTAGGGAGGAGGCTGACTTGGGCGTTCAGTCAAGTTTCTCAACCCAAAGATGCTCGGAGAACTTTCGGTAGCTGGAACCGGCTGGTAGCGAGACCACTGTAGCTGGCGCCAGAATTGTCGAAGCCTCGATATCATAGATTGAGTGTCTTCTACCCGGTTCAATGAATGCTCATTCAGTAGCGCCTCTGCATCCTCTTCTTCTACATCGTCTCGTTCGATTTCCCCTCTTTGATCGCGTCGAGTGGCTTTGGGGTAGTGTTTCAAAATAAGAAACACTGGTTTCCAAGCGTGGTCTCCAAGCTGCCGATGAAGAGCTACGCTGCAGGCGCCGAATAAAACGTAAGCCCAGAAAGATGCGAGCATGGCTATCCAGAAGTCCGCGTTGGTGAAACTCAAGACAAGGAAGAAGACGAACGAGTCAGTAACCAGGAACCAGAGATTATAGCGCCAAAGCATGTGCTGGACACTCATTCGGTACCAGAAACCGCAGAAGCAAAACCAGCCGACGAGGACGGTGGCCGTTGATGGTCGGGATATGAAATGGGGAAGCCATCCAACCACTCCATTGAGAAAGTGTATTTGCTACGAGCCGTTACCTTCTGCGTCCGCAAATGTTGTACATCTTAAGGATGCTTACCTGGTTCCCAATTCGGATTCCCTTCTCGACGATGTCTAAATGTTCAGCTAGGAATAGTACGAGAGCCTCAGCATCAATCTTGGAGTAGTCGTGTTCATTGCTGCGGAGATAGATAGGAAAACGGTTGCGGCGTCTTTCGAGGATCCAACCCGCAAAGATGAAAGTCGTGATGAACGCCACAACTAGCCAGAGAATGTCGGCATATCTGAAGGATAGAGAACAGTTAGCATGAGAATCATGAATTCTACAGTTATCGCAGCGTGTTCCTGGCGTATTTGTATTTGAATCTTGCCATGCGCTGTCACATCGATCTAGGCTTGCTCAAATAAAGTACTCCTATGAGCACAGTATAATCGGTTCGCATTCTAACGTACAGATAGCTTGGTTTATCACGTGTGAATATTCCCCTTCTCTTCATCGACCGCTCATAATCTTCCAGGTACTCGTCCAGAGTCCTTTTCGGGGAACGTTGGGTCATGGCTCTATCGAAGGAGCTCTTATTCAACAATGTTGTGAGGCAGATTGAGTAGCGAGGCGTATGCGGGCGTATGCGGGCGTATGCGGGGCTATATACAGCCACAAACGTCCGAAGGATGAATGCATTTGCCAAGATGTCACACATCCTACTGCGCCTCAAGGGTGCAGAATCCTACGGGGCTAGTCACCTGTGTCGACATATGGTTCTGAGGAGACACGGCGTAACAGAGCCATTTAGATGGATTATTATAGGTGTATAAGTGGCAATTTTTGTGTTTAAATCAAAGTAGTGCTCGCTTTATTGGAAAGCCGCAAGGCGCTGACTCCGCCATCTCCCATCACAGTGCCAAGACAAAGTCTGTTCCCGTGAAGTGTCAGCGAGGCCGCATTCAAATGAACACCTCAACGTCAGCCACACATTGCACCCCCAAATTGAGGTCCTTTGGCCAGGATATTTACGGAATCCTCTCCAGCGTGGAGGATCATCTGTCCTGAAACGGCACTTAAACTCGAAACCTAAGGCTGGGGCTGGGGCTGAGGCTGAGGCTGAGGCTGAGGCTGAGGCTTGGGGCTGCAGAGTTAGCCAAAGATATTTGCTACACGACACTATGGCATGCTGAAGAGAAGCTAATAGCAATAAGACTTAAACTAGATTAGGGTGACTTTATACGCTATCGCATTGCCAGAAAATGATCCTGTTTTATCTTGCTAAAAGATTCCTGAAGATTAAATTATAGTCGCTCTTAGAGGAAGCACAGCTTGCACAGATCTGCGAGAGAATTGTCTATCGTGCTGTTGGAGATAGAGTCTTAAAAGCAAGCGCGATTTAAGCAAGAGAGCCGCAATTTTAACGCTACGGACTCTACCATGCGCTTCTCTGTGAGTACTACCTTTAGAAGCAATGCAGTGGCAACGATAAGTATGTGTTTCGCTACCCTAGTGAGAAATGGTGGCATAGGAGGGCACAGGAGGATCTTATAAGCTAATTGCGCACTTGAATGGTATAGGCGTTAATATGGGTTGGTGGTAGGGGAAGGTTACTGTAAGGCATATATACTATTCTGCACGCGAATCAACCGTTGGTTGATTATTCGCACCTTTTTGTTTGTAATGGCGGAGTGGCGCGGAGCCTGTCCTTGCAGGTACGTAAGAACCCTCTAGTGCTTATGGCAACAGACCCTCCAACGCGCTACAATGGATACACATCCTAGAGTTGTGCTAAAGCTCTCTAAAAAGACCTCCTACGTAATCAGTAAAGCGGCATTTGATTTCTGCATGATAACGCCTTTATACACCTGGCCACTAACACGAATGTGTTAATGAAGTACCTCGTTAATGTTATTATCTACCTTATTCGCCAGATATATAGCGTATTAAGCATATTGAGTAGGCCTTAAAGAGGGCCTCTATAGACTATACTCCTGTCTCTTAACGCTTAGAGACTTCTAAGAAGAATATGCCGACGGGAACAGACTTTTGTCCTAGAGCTGTACAGTGGATTAAGCCCATGTGGGCTCAGAAGCTGACATGCTTTTGCACATCTATATTTCATATTGGTAAGAAAAGTTAGCTAAATTCGTTATGTACGACGTAGAAGACTTATAAATTCTTCTCCTCAAAGATACCCTTCAATGCCTTCATCGTTTCAATGGGTCTTTAACCCCGCTCTAACCATATTAGGATTCCCGTATAGATTTATAGTAGATTTCTTATATAGCTTCTCAAGTACAATTATTTAGTATTAAAGCTAAAAATTACAATGTCGTTGTCGGCCTTCCTACCTGATAATAGAGAGGCTTCTTTAAATGCGAGTAAGACCTCTTAACTCACAACACCACAACTAGGTAATTTTCGCCCTTAAAGTTAATATACCGTTATGTCCTAGGTTCTCAAGTCTACCCACAGTGCTGACAGGTCGTCTTCAGCCTTATTAGTGGCGTGGCGTCCAATGTCATGGGATCTTGCAACCTCGGTACTTCTGGACAAAGCGAACAAGGATCCTTATTTAGGATAGCCCTAAATACGTTGTGTTATATTAGCTAATAGGACACTAAGCAGAAGCAAGTGACAGGTGTGGCTGCTTACCCGTGGCTGTCCAAGCTGTTCTCACTAACGTGCTGACGAAGTGTGCCTAACCTCTCGGCAAGATAGTCCCCGTACCTGCAAGGAGTCTCTAGTCGGCGATGTTCTAGCATTTCAGCCATGAATCTCTCTCAAATTTCCGAAGCTGATCAGTCTCTTCCGCTTTCTGGAGCTCGGCCTCTTGCTCGCGAATCCGACCCCCGTCAATGAGCAAGTATATGACACAAAAATTTCTAACAAGCTAACTAACTTACTAGTCAGATTAGTCTTTCGTAGAACGACATTATAGAAGAACGTAAGACAAAAAACGAAAGCTAGCTGCCACTACAGAATGACAGATGGTCTTCTCAGGTTGCCGTATCCGAGGATAAAATTGGCGCTTAGGTCGACGATATGTTCGGAGAAACATGAAGGCTAGCTTGTAGTGGGTACGTCTTGTTGAGCTGGTCTGCTACTTTCGCGGCTGCGATAGGCCTTAAGGGCTCTGAACGTGTGTCACTCCACCTTGTGGGGCTTCGTCATCCGTGTTTCGTTCGTCCATAGACCGGGGCTGTCGCTGTGTGTATGTTATAAGAGGTATCGATTGAAGTCACTGATCATGCTAAGGCTGTAGAGTCAGATGAGGTGGGGTTTGATCAAGTCACAGTCAAGGCTCGCTTACTAACAAAATATGCTACTTGCTCGCAACGCAGATCTTCGTGGACAAGGCCGGAAGCCAAGTGTATGAACATAACCGCATGAGTGATAACCCCAGAAAATTTGTGAAGTTCGAAATGGATCTTCGAAGACTTTGCGCCAGTTCCTCGATGTGTTTGATCTGATCTCGGTCCAAATCTAAGGCATCTGAAAGTCTTTTGATGACGTTGGATGTTATATTACGGTTAAACATGTCTTATCTAATTGCTCAGCTTGTATGATACTTGCACGAGATCTTTGCACATTGCGGTGACTGACTCGTCATGTGACTGATCGGAGCATTATCATGCGAGAGCATTCAACCTACTGTTACACAAGCTCGGTACTATATATAGCCTCCGTCTCTGTAACGGACCTCTGGTGGGGTAAATGCGGTTAGTGGACTTTCCAACCACCAAAAACCTGTCTCGCTATTATTTCGCGCCTCTTCGCGTTAGCCATCGCTGAAGCTGCACGCGATGCTCACCCAAACTGCCTCGAGGCATTTAATTGCGTCACAGTCGCCCCAGCAAGCTACACGTACGAACGACCCATCCCGGGGTGATGCAATCGCCCAGGTCGAAGATCCAGCAGAGAAGACTACCAGGATGGAAATGGTCCTACAAGAAATCCTTAGGCAAAGAAGTATCGCCTTGCAGTGCGTGCAGACAAAATCCGAGTCTACAGCTCAAGATTCAGAAGCAGCGCAGACAGAGAGCAGTGGAGATGTCGAGCAATGCAGGGATCTAGAGGATCTCCAAGACGACTTCTCGAGCATTGAATTCGAAAGGTTTCCACAACCCGAACACATCCGGCCGAGGCCTATGAAGAAGGTCAAAAGTTATACGGGGCCCGTCTTGTGTTATCATCAAGGTCATTGGGACCAGGTTGGAGGTCGCTGGCGCTGTGAACATTGTCCGGGGCATAGATTGTATCGAACAAGGCATCGATGCCCGGGATGCAATACGGTGGCTTGTGGTAACTGTTTGAAGAAGACAATGAAGGGGTACCGGGCACAGAGAAAGGTCTCAGAGCTAGCTTAAGTGGGATGTTTGGTGCAGTACGTTTCTTGAATGATGATCTCTAATGCATTCATGCCATGCGAGCCCATGCTGCGTATGTTTTAGAGTAGAGCTGGCTTTGATCTATGTCGTCTGGAGCTACCCAATCTGGATCGAGTGATCTGCTTCGGCTGTGAATACCGCACTTACAAGCGAAGGAGCATATCTAGCAATTGGCTGTAGCTTATTGGAGGTTCAACATAGAAGGCGGCGTTAGATGACTGTGTCCTGCAAGTGTACCTTCGTATCCCGAAGTGCTCTCTGCCCTAAAGCCATCGCAGCGCCCGATGCGGCAGTCCGGTCGATTTCTGAATGATCATGTGTCGTTGATCGCACGGTCAATGCCAGAAGAGTAGTGTATGCTCGGCCCTCCTCGGACGTTGATGAACATGTTAGGTCAAGTGCTACCACCCAGGACTAGAAAGTGCGCGCACATCTCAACCCGCGCCAATTATCCCCCAACCTCCTCCAAACTATCTCCACATGTTCGATCCCATCTCGAGATCTTCAATCGCATGGGTTTCTCCCTTCGCTCACAAACTCTTCTCCACGACGGGGCAATTTTCTCCACCGCCCTGCTTGCATACCAGTAACCCTCCGACCTCTATCGAACCGAACCTCAACCTCCACGCTAACCATCCCGTCTCCACAATAAACTGCTCCCCGCCTACGGCCGCACGGTAAAGGGTGGGACGCACGTAGCGGCAAGTGCCTTCAGACGTTCGAGGGCCACAGCTCCTACGTCAGCTCGGTGGCCTTCTCCCATGAGTCGATCTGGCGTCCACGTCCCGCGACTGCATGTCAAGGTGTGGGACGCGCGCAGCGGCAAAGTGTCTTCAAACAATCGAGGTTGAGAAGATACTCTATAGCATCTCCTTCTACCCTAGTAACAACTACCTACACACTGATGTTGGTGTTATAAACATCAGTACTCTACCAATTTCAACTCCAGCATTAACTAGTGCAGAAACTCAGATCGCTTAGTATCAAGGCGTGGCTTTAGGTGTAGCTAGAGCATGGATAACATACAATTCAGATAACTTCTTAAGCTGCGTTCAGGGTATCGACCGTCTTGTTCAGCAGTGTTAGGAGGTATTATTGCTATTAGTGTTAGGAATGGAAGAGTGTGGATGTGTGAAGTTTAGGGTAGCGTATCCTACCAATGTTACAGTATTTGCGTGTAACTTTCTCCTCTACTATATATTTTCTATTATCTCTATTTCATAGAGGGTGCTGTGGTGTATGAAGTTGATATAGTATGTGAGCTTCCTTAAACGATGCTTCGAGCAGGTTCCGCTCACATAAGCATCAATCGTCAACTTGTCACTTGCCTATGGTCGGGTGCATTGAACGGCTCAATCGCGCTACCAGTAGGATAGCCGACCCACTCTTGACCTTGTAGATGCTTTAAAATGTATAGATAATAAGTAGGTAGAGGCACAGGTAGCGGCAGCTCATAAAATCACCACTTTCTAAGCCACCTGCGCGGCCCCTGCAACGCGCTAGCATTTATTCAGTAAGCGCCTTTCTGAGCCTGCGCTCAGAATAACCTTATCTCAGCTAGCTCAGCCGATTGGGGAGAGAAGGGGCGAAGCCCCGACAGGGGCAGAGCCCCTGATACCCTTGCTAGTCAACATAAACCCATGCTAGTCGCGCTGGTGGCGCTCACGCTATCTTTCTGGCCAATAAGGATGCTAGATTTAGCTTCTCTTCCTAGCTGTCTAAGAGACTTTAGTAATTAATTATATAAATAACTAATTTTAGTGCTTACTTTTTATATAAAGATACATTATATTAATATTTACACATTCTTTCTTTTTTTTAAACATCTCTAAACTTTAGGCTAACAGCTACATAACTTTTTGCTATTATCTATTAAATTATTACATGTTTTGCATGTTATTTACTGTATAAAATAGCTAATAAGTCTACTAGTCCTACTCTGTGTCTGCGCTAGCGTCTACAACCCTTTTATCTTTCTTTAGTAGATAAGCTGCTACCTTCTTTATTATTACTTTTATTATTACCTTTTTTTATGTTCTTCTTGCCTTTATTTATAGTTACTACTAAGCCTTAGGCTTTAGTTCTAACAACTTATTTCTTTATAACTTTATAAGTAGTAGGCATGTCTACTTAGTGTGTCTAGTTGTCTATACTTATTTACACTCTAAGATTAAGAAAACTAGAGTAGGTTCTAGTGTTAATAAATAAGCTATAAATGCTAATAAGTAAATTTATTAAGTTATATTTATAAGACCTGCTGTTATTAAAGGCCTTACTACTTAGTAAATGTAAAATAATTCTTTAATTAGCACTAAAATAGCTAAACATTTATGTAGCATTAAGTAAAGATAATAAGGCTACTAGTGTCCTTAGTTTTATTATGTTTATAAGAAAACTTAACAGTTTTATTAAGCAAAAGTTTTTTAACTAGTATAATATAGCTTTTAGGCTAGATAAAGTTAATTTTACTAAGTTAAAGTTAATTATAGCTAATTAAGCTCTAAATTAAAGCAAGTTTATTAAAAGACTTTTATAAAATAAGTAAAGTGCTTAAAGTAGTTATAGTAAGGCTAAGAGTTTATAAAATAGTAAAGTGTATCTAATTACTTCTATTATCTTATGTTGCTAGGCCTAGAAGAGATGCAACTACCTTGCCTGCCTACTAGGTCTATATTTGCATAGTAGTAGTATAAAACAGCGTGTTGTAGAGATGTTGTTAGGCTTAAGTGTTTATAACTTATATAAGATTATAAACTAGAAAGTTAATAAAATAGTAGACTATATAAAAAGCTTATAAGTTATAATATTATATTATATAGCTTATGTCTTACTTAATGCTAAGCTGCTAGGTCTTACACATAATTCTTAGTTAATAATTATATATAATAATTATAACTTTACTAACTAAACTTATAACTACACTATAGGCGTTGTAATAGCTATCTAGCAGAACCTAATAACAGCGCTTATTATAAGATGTCTATAGATCTTTAAGAATAGTTTAACCTAGTCTATGTTTAATTTTAGCATAGCATTGCAGCCTAATTAGATCTGTATAGCGCCTAGCATAATTTAGGACTATATAAGCAAGTAAATTACATTGTGCTATATGTTGTACGCTGTAGCTGCTATCTATAGTGCTGCTATATTAAAGGTCTTTATTAGCTTAGAGGACTAGTTGCTGTTAATGCTAGCTGTTAAAGTCCTACTATGTAAAAAACTTAGCTAGGTAAATTATTTAAAAGTAATATTTTTTAATAAAAGTGTTATTAATAAGACTTATAAAGTACATAATAATATTTAGCTTTAGTAGTTAAATATTTTTATAAATTTAAAAAAGCTAAGCTTTAAAACACAGCTATAGATAGTATAAGGTAACTAGAAAACTACTAAGTTTATATATAGTCTTAAAAAAGAGCAGCACAGCGCGTTCTAGCTATATAATAAGAGAGATTAGATAATTAGACTACTTATATATTTTTATATTCTTTAGGCACTTACTTACATAATTATTTGTACACACTTTAATACGCCTAAAGGTACAGACTTTTTTAGTAATCTTTTACATAATATTATGCGCTTAAACTATGCTAGTATTAATTAGGGTAATGTTAAGTATTATATAGCTGTGCTGCTAATACATCTAAGCTAGAGCGCCTAAATAGTTGCGTTATTCTACTAAAAGATAGGCAACAGTAGATATCTCTAAGGCTAGGTGCTAGATATCTATGCAGTAAATGTCTAGCAATACTAGCAGTGTCTTTATAATAAGGCTATTAGTTAGCTCTTGCTTAACTAGTACATTAAGTTACTTAAGTAGATATGTAAGAAGGTCTTTACACTTACTATGTAGAAAAGCTATAATAATTTTAAAAGTAACTAAATAATAACATGTTAGTTTTTTTAAAAAATTAAAATATTTTTTACTTTATAGCATGTAGTTAAGTTTAGTAATATTAGAATTATTTATTACTTAATTAATTTATTAGCTGTATTCTTCTTTAGATCTAGTTAAAAGCGCTATAGTACTAAGCTGCTACACCTCTACTAGTTAGTCTTAGATAGGGTGTTAACTCTAACACTTTAGTAGTCTATACTTGCCTCTAGGTTAGTTAATGTACATAAAAAGCTAAACACCTTTTAAGTAGTTAATATTATGCTTAAGCTTATAAACTATATGTATAAGCTTAACATACAGCACTTTAAAAATAAGACTTATAATATAAACTTTACTTTTAGTTATCTTACACTGTTTTACTAGTTCTATATGCAACTCTGTGCGCTAATAGAGGGCGCCTTTAGAGAGAAGAGCAAGAATAAGTATACACAGTGTAATATTAAGCTAGAGATATTTACTCTTACTATTTATCTACTAAGTTATAGGCGCTGTAAGCGCTTAACTAGTTAGATTAACTAAGGGCTTCTTTAGCCTATTATAAGCTTTAATATTATTGCTAGTAGTATTAAGTTGTTAACATTAAAGGTTATAGACTTTAACATTAGTAATGTTATATCTAGTAATTATATACTAGCACTAGATGTAACTAATCTAGCAAGCATTAGCGCAAAAAAGTTATATTATATTAATGTAATAAAATTTATAAAAATAGTTAAGAGCACAACTTATAGTAACTTTAAAAGTTTAGTTAATAATTTAATTAATAGTAATTTTAATAAAAGTCTTAATAAAGCTTTTAAAAATAAATAAAGTAATTATATATTTTTATTTTATATATACTTATAGTAAGCACTTCTGTAATATATAATAGTGTTATAAAGCACTATTTACTTAGTGCAGCTAATTAGACGCTGTGCGCTGTTAGTTGCTTACTAGTTTTAACAACTGCGCAGTGTTAGGTACATAACTGCTCTCTAGTCCCCTTGTATTAGCTTGTACGCTCTTGTCTAACCTACAGCCTATTTATATATTGCATGTATTAAGACAAATTCCTAGCTATAGATTACTTAGTTACTAGCATACTATTATAGTTTTATGCGCTTACTATTTTTAAAAGTTCTTTAATTATAATAATGCTTATTAGTTTAATAGTTTTAAAAAGTTTATAAAAATACTTATATTTTACTTAAATAATTTAAAGACATAGTAGTAGTAGATAAAGTTATATAAAAGCTTAACTATATTAGAGTAAAACTATAGTTAAAAATTAAAGAAGCTAAGGCTACCTTAATTATAGTAATATTATGTTGCTATGTGTCTTAATTATTATAAACTATTTACTTATATTTACTACCTACTATTTAATGTAGTTTAACTCTACAACACTAATTAATTAATTATGTGTAATATATATTTACTTTAGTAAGACTTTTTTTTTTCTTTATTTACTACTACTACCTAGCCTGCTTATTATTAATCTAATGCCTTATAATTACTTATATATGTTATATTTTACTTATTTTTACCTACTTTTACCTCTAAATTAGGCAATTTTTAGTTATAATTAGTAAAAAATAATTAAAAAGTTATAATTTTTTGCACTAGTTAAACACTAGCGCCTTTTATATCTTTTTAAATAATTTTATAATGTGTACTTTTACTGCTAGGCAGAAACTCTAGTCTAGTTAAGTGCTTTTGCTACTAAGGTAAAAGCTAGAGTATATATAAGCCCTTTTTTTTTAGTTAAACTTTTTTTAATTATTTTTAACTTTTTTACTTTAATTAGCTAAGTTTCTCTTACCTTTTTAATTTAAGCTGTACTAAACACTATATAGTTACTTTATTCTCTACCTTGCCTTATAAGTACTTGTCTACTTTTATTAACTAGCTAAGTCTTCTCTTTATCTATGCGTTAGGCTGTACTAAATACTTTATAGTAACATAGTTTTACTTTTTTTTTTTTATTACTTTTTTTAATTAACTAAACTATCTTTTTATGCGCCTTTAAACTCTTTTTTTTTGCTTAACTATGTCTTTAAACCTTTTCTTACTATACTCTTTCTTAATTAACTATATTTACTTTTTAACTATTGCCTATTGCCTCCCTGCCTTCTTTTAAACAGTTACATGTGTTAGATTTAGTTGC